GGGGAATGAGACTGTACCCACTACTCCGTATACTACTAAGAGATACTATCATGTGGACATAAATAGATCGGGAGCTGAAGTTGAATAAGAAAACTGGGAGTTCTTCTATCAGTTCTTTGGTGAACTAGCCTCTTGCAAGCTTTTGAATGCCCAGTGGCTGCTAGAAGGGATGGTTATTTGCAACCTCCAGTAGTATAAAAACAGCGAGTTGTTAGGGCGAAGGCTGGGATGAGATATAACCATCACCAATCCGTGGTATGTTAAAATATAGAAGCAGTACCTACGGAGTACAGATGTTGTACCTCTGTACTCTGTACAAAGTACGGAGTACATTGGGTAAGAACTATCGTGGACACTGATTGGCTCAACAGCAAAACACGTTGATTGGCTGTTCAGGAGCTATTGTAGTGCCTTGTTGCCTTAGGTATCTTACCCCGGCTCAGGCCAGCTTGTAGCTTCTGTTGATAGCATCTCCACCTTTAAATGCAGGTCACTCCGTGATAACCTACGCCATTCTGTCGGAGATTGAGGGTCTCTGATTGATCATACTATTTATTTTACCATGGCCAGGAGTCTACCTGCCCCCCCGTTGGGCAATGTTGCTCTCCTTGGTTATCCTCCTCGGATGCATTGTTGTCCCCGGCTGTAAGGCTGCCTTTTGCCAAAATGCAAGATTACAAAAAGCTAACGCCCATGGCACGAACAGTGGCAGTGAAAAATAAGGATTTTAAAACTTGCGAGCAGTCCGGATTTTGCAAACGAAACCGTGCCTATGCCGATAACGCCTCCTCCCAAGGCACTTCATGGAGCTCACCCTACGAGCTCGACCCCGCCACCGTACATTTCAAAGATGGCATCCTTACTGGAATCATTTCCAAGACAACGACTGCCAATGAGAAGGTCCGGCTACCCCTCACAGTGTCTTTCTTGGAATCGGGAGCCGCCCGCATTGTGGTGGATGAAGAGAGGCGGATGAAGGGCGACATTGAAATGCGACATGGCAGCCAAGCGAACAAGAAGCGATATGATGAAACCGAGAAATGGGCTATCGTGGGTGGTTTGGAAGTCAGCAAGTCGGCCACGTTGAACGCTCAGACCGAAACTGGATTCACCAACATTTTATACGGCCCAGGCGACAAATTCCAGGCAATCGTTCGCCACGCGCCATTTGGGGTTGAATTTCAGCGAGACGGAGAGACCCATGTTCAATTGAACCACCAAGGTTTCTTGAACATGGAGCACTGGCGACCGAAGGTAGACGGCAAAGATGACGAATCCGGCGAGGACGAGGGTACCTGGTGGGAGGAGACGTTTGGGGGAAATACCGACTCAAAGCCGCGTGGTCCCGAGAGTGTTGCTCTTGATATCACCTTCCCCGGTTATAATCATGTATTTGGTATCCCAGAGCACGCAGACTCGCTCTCGCTCAAAGAGACCAGAGGTGGATCTGGCAACCATGAGAACCCTTACCGTTTGTACAACTCGGATGTCTTTGAGTATGAACTCGAAAGCCCGATGACCTTGTACGGAGCCATTCCGCTGATGCAAGCCCACCGCAAGAACTCCACTGTCGGGGTCTTCTGGCTCAATGCAGCGGAAACGTGGATCGATATTGTCAAGTCGACTGCCTCCTCCAACCCACTTACCTTGGGCGCCCGCCCCAAGACAGATACACAGACTCATTGGATTTCCGAATCCGGTCAGATTGACCTATTCGTCTTCCTCGGCCCCTCGCCGAATGATATCAGTAAGACATATGGTGAACTCACGGGATATACACAACTGCCCCAACAGTTTGCCATTGGATATCACCAGTGCCGTTGGAACTATGTTACGGACGAGGATGTCAAAGAAGTCAACGCCAAGTTCGACAAGTACCAGATTCCATACGATGTGATTTGGCTTGATCTTGAATATACCGATGACCGGAAATACTTCACCTGGGACTCCCTCACCTTCCCCGATCCTAAGGGTATGCAGCAAAAGCTCGATGAAACTGAGCGAAAGCTTGTGGTTTTGATTGATCCACACATTAAAAATGCGGACAAGTACTTTGTTTCCGAGGAGCTTAGAAGCAAAAACCTTGCTGTGCTGAATAAGGATGGCGAGATTTACGATGGATGGTGCTGGCCAGGGTCCTCGAACTGGGTCGACTGCTTCAACCCCGCTGCACAGGCTTGGTGGGCTACCTTGCACAAGTTCGATAAATTCAAGGGATCACTTCAGAATCTTTTCATCTGGAATGACATGAATGAACCCTCCGTTTTCAATGGACCTGACATGACCATGCCTAAGGACAACTTGCATTATGGAAACTGGGAACATCGCGATATTCACAACCTTAATGGTCTGACCCTTTTGGACGCCACCTACAAAGCAATGCTGGAGCGCAAGAAGGGCGAGGTGCGCCGGCCGTTTATCTTGACGCGCTCGTACTACTCCGGGGCCCAGCGTGTGTCCGCTATGTGGACCGGAGACAACCAGGCCACCTGGGAGCACCTTGGGGCCTCTCTCCCAATGGTCCTGACCAACGGTATTGCTGGCTTCCCCTTTGCCGGCGCAGATGTCGGAGGATTTTTCCACAACCCCGATAAAGACCTTTTGACCCGGTGGTATCAGACAGGTATCTGGTATCCCTTCTTCCGCGCACATGCTCACATCGATACTCGCCGTCGTGAGCCGTACCTGATCAGCGAACCGCAACGGTCCTACATCGCCCAGGCAATCCGCCTCAGGTACCAACTTATGCCTGCTTGGTACACTGCCTTCCATGAAGCCTCAGTTAATGGTACGCCCATTGTGCGGCCTCAGTACTATATGTTCCCAGAGGACGAGCAAGGCTTTGCCATCGATGATCAGCTGTACCTTGGTTCCACGGGTCTTCTCGTGAAGCCTGTTGTGCAGGAGAACACTTACACCGCGGATGTGTATATCTCCGACGACGAGAAGTACTATGACTACTTTGATTTCACCGTCTACCAGGGCGCGGGCAAGAAACACACCGTCCCTGCACCCGAGGAGAAGGTGCCTGTGTTGATCCAGGGTGGCCACATCATCCCCCGCAAGGACCGTCCTCGTCGCAGCACCGGTCTTATGCGATGGGACCCGTATACACTGGTCATTACCCTAGACAAGAATAGCGAGGCGGGGGGGCACTCTGTACGTGGATGATGGCGAGACATTTGACTACGAGCGTGGCGCCTACATTCACCGGCGCTTCAACTACCGCGAGTCGGTGTTGTCGTCGGAGGACATTGGAACCAAGGGACCCAAGACTGCTGAGTACCTCAAGACCATGGCTGGTGTGACAGTCGAGAGGGTGGTGATCGTTGACCCTCCTACCGAATGGAAGACTAAGAACACTGTGACTGTCATTGAAGATGGAGCCAAATCGGCCTCTACTACCTCGTTGGAGTTCTACGAGCAGGAGAGCGGCAAAGCATCATATGCTGTGGTGAAGAACCCGAATGTTGGCATTGGAAAGGCATGGCGAATCGAGTTCTAGAAGCGATATGTTTCATTTCTTGGACAATACATGTATGCAATATCTACATTATTAGAAGTCGATAGGCCTGCATGTCATGAATAACTCTTTTGGTTCGTATAAAACTTTCTAGGGGAAGGAAACAGCCCTTTCACGAAATATAACGTTATCGGATCGGTGAATACCTATTTGACCACCTAGGAATATATTGATAAGTCGACATCAGTATATATATATATGAAGGCCACAGAACTTTCTACAGGCGGCATTCCATTGCACTGTATGAAGCGGTGTATGAAGCGGTCTAGGCCCTAATGAGGATGAATAATGAAGCATCCGGTCATCAATAATAGTCGGTTTTGCCCCATGCACCTATACCACTGCGATAGGCCGGTCTGAGAACGCAGCACGCAGCGCCTTTATGGCCTCAACTTCTATGCAAGCAAGTCAACACCGCTATTAGGAACAAATAAAGCTTTGACCATATTTGCCGACACGCTTCTTGGCTTCTTTCCCAACCCCGCCTGGATTTGACGCTGCCGTATATTTCGTCTGGAGGTTGTCCGGCCTACTGATAGAACAAATATGCGGGGTATTCTCACATACCTACTAAGCGACTTGCTCACTAAGAAACCCGCTCAGCCTGTCGTGGATTTGAGGCATGCAAATTCAAGGGGGAAGACTAGAAGTGATGTGTTGTTCAATGCCATCGAGTTAGTTTAGGGTTTGTGTGATGCTTTCTTGTTGTATCCCACGAGGCTTTTGATCTTCCAAGGGTCCTAGCAGCTTTTCCCAAGTCGACTAGATGCGTTAAGCCACCGAATGAGGATCGCAAAATCCGTGATGGTCTTGATGATACTGCGGCTCATGCACAACCACATTCCCCACCAATAGACTGCCATGAACATGCGGAGGCCGGATATAAATCTCTTCGATTGCGGCGGAAATGAGAGATGGCGGGTTTTCGTATGTCCAAACAAGGTCGGAGCAGATAGTACCGGAGAAAGGTCCGGAGAAGCGCCTGGATAAAGCCTCGGAGAAAGGCCGGGACCAAAGCCCGGAGAAAGGTCCATCATTGCTCCCTTGGGGGGAAACATACACCCCGCATGGCCACCCGCGGTGGTTGTCTGTGCTTTCCGCAGCAGATCGGGTTCTGACTGGATGCCCGTCAACAAGCTCACCTTGGCACAGACCAACTACCGGTCACCCCCCAGAGATATATAGATCGTCCGGCGTAGTTTGGAAATCATTGGATAATGGCCAAGCTTCCCCGCATTTCTTGGCTGTTGGAATGTAGTCACAAAGACTGGGGTAAACAACGAAAGCTGAAATCATTCCACCAATCTATGGAGGATAACCGACCTGGTGTAACTAGGTATATGGCATATATAATCTACCTTTTCGTCGACTTGCTCGTGCTGATCTTCTGAGACCCTATATCTACAGGAACATCTCTCAAGCTTGGTCTGTTTGAAGGAGCCACCGTTTGGGTGTATACTACTTATAATCCCCAGCTATGAACCGTGGTTCTATTGGAAAAGACGACGTCGAGATTGTCGATCAATCTTCTCATGTTGAACACATTATCAAACCCTCTCTGGTCACTCAGGTTGGAGACTTCCGTGTCGTTGGTTTAACTACCGATGATGCAGACTTTTATAATAACTATCCGGAGGAGAAACGGAAAAAGGTCTTCCATAAGGTGGGAATGAAACATTCCTCTCACAGATAATATTTAGCTAACTCTCTATACAGGTCGATAAGCGTTTAATCCCTATGCTCGCAGTGCTGTACCTGATTTGCCATATCGATCGTGCGAATATCGGCAATGCTAAGATCGAAGGCATGGTCCAAGATCTCAATATGACGGGGTTGCAGTATAATACTGTTCTTTCTATATGTGAGTTCATTTTCTGCACACACTCAGCCGGTTTAGTATTTCTTGGCTGTGAGCGCAAGGCGTACTGACTCGTGATATACACATGTAGTCTTCATTCCCTACGTCCTGTTCGAAGTTCCTAGTAACGTTGTTCTCAAGAAGTTCAAGCGCCCTTCAGTGTACCTTGGCCTTCTTGTCTTGACCTGGGGTATTGTTATGACATGCACAGGTCTGGTTCAAAATTTTGCTGGTCTGATGACCACTCGAGTTCTACTCGGTGTTTTTGAGTGAGTGACACCACTTGACCACATTTTACTTTTCACCCTAATACTTTGCTTTATAGAGCTGGATTCTTCCCTGGTGCTATCTACCTTTGCTCCTACTGGTACATGCCTAGGGAATTAGCGCTTCGTATCTCATACTTCTACTGCGCCAGTGCGCTCTCCGGCGCGTTCTCCGGCCTGTTGGCTGCCGCTATTGCCAAGATGGACGGTACTGCTGGGCTTGAGGGATGGCGGTGGATCTTCATCCTTGAAGGTCTTGCTAGTGTGGTACTAGGTATTGCCTGTTTCTTCCTCCTCATCGACACCCCGGCTTTATCCAAGCGCTGGTTATCCCCCGACGAAATTCGCTACCTAGAACTTTCAATGTTCATCAAGCAAGGAGGAACTAGTACCGGGGAGGAGGGGTTCAAGTGGAGAGATCTCAAGGTGGTTCTGATGAACTGGAGGATATACGTGCAAGGCTACCTTTTGTTTTGCCAGTCGGCCTTGTCTTATGGTAATATCCCTTTTCGAATCCTACACAACACATTGAGCTAATATATCTTTGCACCCAGGTACGAAGTTTACCCTCCCGACCATCACCAAAGCCATGGGATTCAGCTCCACGAATGCCCAGCTCACCTCTGCCCCTCCATATATTGCCGGTGCGATATCTGCTATCGTGTTTGCGCGGTTCTCCGATCGCTTCTATTGGCGAATGCCATTTGTCTGCATCCCCATGGTAATCGTCGTGGTAGCCTATTCTATTATTATATCTCTTAATGGAGCCATGGAAGAAAAGAAAGGAGTGGCCTACTTCGCAGTTGTCTTGTCTGTCATCGGTATCTACCCCATCCAGCCCGGAGCTGCGTCTTGGAATGCAAACAACATTGCCCCAGCGTCCCGCCGGGCTATGGGTATCGCACTGGTAAACTGTGTCGGCAATGTTGGTGGCATATTGGGCAGCTTCATGTATATTGAGAAAGAGAGCCCTAAGTACACAACTGGATTCGGCCTCAGTTTGGCACTCGGTGGGGTTGGATTCTTTGTTGCTTTGTTCCTCGAATGGACATACAAGTTGGGCAATGCGAAGAAGGAAAGAATTGCTGACGATGCAAGAGTTAACTACACCGAGGAACAGCTGTTCGATATGGGAGATAAGTCGCCGCTGTTCAAATATGTTTTGTAAATACTCTGTGGGAATGAATTTATGATGATACTCTTGATAATACGATGGACTCCTGATGTCTTCACTCTTAAGTACAACCTCCTCACGTGCTAGATTATATCAGATGAGGTTGTTTGTCGATTGCACTTTCCTGTTTGGGTTCCTTCCGTTTTAGTTCTGCTTCCTCATCCCCCACATTTGAGCCATCATATCACCACTTTACCCTTCCTTGATATCAACTACTTGAAGATTCTATTCAGGATCATCTCCATCCGGCTAACGCAACCATGGCCAAGGATATATCAATAACCCCAGCCTCGTCTCAGCCGACTAAGGCTGCCCCTACGAGTCCCTACTATGGGATGTATGGTCACTACTGGAAGTCAAACAGGGATGTGTCACCCGGCAAATGGATGTAAGCATAACTTTGAATCGGGATATTGAATATGGCTGACCGATTATATTAGCCAGGAGAGCAAGAAGCTCTGTGCTTGTGATGAACACCAGGCAAGCCAATGGCCGATGGAATACGCGGTCATTGTGAGTGAAAGCACCTAAATATCGCATTCAAAGCCGATATTAATCCTTCTAGACGATTCCTCCATGCGCCTACAAGTGTCCCTACTGCTCAAAGTTCGATAACCTCGAGACCACCAACCCTCAGGTAGTGAAGCTCCGTGCTCATATCAAAAAGGATCATCTGGTGAGACTATCGTTCCTGGATGACTTGCTGCATACTGATATCTATTAGAAGAAAAAGCCGGATGACTTCGCTGGGCTCTCTGTTACCCCGGGCAGAATGACAAAGCCCCGCGCGCCGTGAGTTACTTTTGAGTTACCCTTGTTCAACTCGAACTACCTGCTTCTAATCTCATTGGTTTTTCTAGTAAGCCATGAAGATGGTAAGCTTCTGTGTGCTGTATGTCATTCATTTCCTGGACTATTGGTTTTCAACTTACAATTATCCCATACCAAGAGGCTTTGTACACAGAAACCAAACTTCGAGATCAGAATTTACTTATGCTTTTCCCCTCCCGCTTTTGCTTCTCTTCTCTTCAAGCTTAGATTCTCGAGGCAGAGACGTAAATCTCACCTGCAATCCCCTCCTCGGCGTCGTGAGCTTGCAACGAAAGCATCCCGTCGACAACTTGCCATATCACGTCATTCATCATAATCTCGCTTGTACCCTCTTCGTACCAGTTGGACATATCCTCTTCTTGATCAAAGAAGTCCTCATACTCGTTCCTGAAAAGAGCCAGAGCAGCCTTGTTGGCTTCCTCGAGGGTGTCAAATACGTGCTGCCTTTGGCTATCACCATCCTCAGACTCCTCCTCCTCGTCTTCTGAGTCTACCTCCTCAAACATGGATAGATCTTCGGCGGCACTGTTGATGACGTGAAAGACGTATTTGACGTTGGAATCGGGTGAGGGTCTGTGCTCGGCCGCGTTGACTCTATCTAACAGATTTTGTGGGAAGTCCGGGACTGAGCGCATCTTTGCGGATTGCAGAGTAGTTGAATCAGGTGATTTGGCTGGTTTTTTTCTTTTGCTGGAGAGGATTGGAAATTGAGTCTTTTAGAGGTTGGTGTAGAAGATGGCGTTTGAGTCATGTGATAAGCCCGGCGCTATATTACCCCGCACATCCTAGTTGAAGGGAGATATCGCAGTTCTATTCCCTAGGCATATAAAAAAGCTAGTCGAACCTAATCTAGTGCCCTCTCTTTCCAAGATTACACTCACTAACGGGTTTAGTCACTGCGCCTCCTCAATCAACTCCAGCAATCAAGTGGTCTCATCTATGGCGCTCCCACTTTACATTCCTCATTGTATTCACACACCCGCCGGCCGGTATCACCTCCCACCATCTGATCAGCCGCTCAGAATCCAAATCGAAGGTCCCCTAATCGCCATACAAAGGCTCCTACCACATATCCATTGGCGTCTGGAGTTTGGAGACCGAACATTCCCACAGCCAGCAGGCCCAGAGCTAGCACGGTTAACGTATCAGACTATATACGGACGGGATGTTTGTCCGGAAGTCCCGGGTGATCTGGTGGTGCAGGATGAATACTTGGGCTGGATGCCGGAGAAGCGTCCGGAAGAGTAAGTCAATCTCTCCTAGTGGAAGCAACGAGCTCTGATGGCCCTATGGCTAATCAGTTCTCTCCTTTTAATTTGAGTAGGCTGATTGACTATTATGGTGTAACATTTGACCATCTTGTCCCAGCTGACGATATCAACCCCGAGGTCTTACAGATTAACATCATTGACATTGAGGATGATAATGGTGTTTATGCAAATACATGGCTTTCATTTGCAGTAGATCCGACTGAGTTTATTGGGAAGAAGGTACTAGCAGTGCCGAGGTGTTGCCAGAAGAGGAAGGGAACACAGGATCGCTGGCGAGTGAATGCCCTTGTGGACCAGAGGATTCATAGGTTGGAACATTTGAAGGACGCTAAAGAATGGAAAACTCTGACAGAAGATCAAAATGCGAAAATTGAGAACTTGAATTAATATATCGTCGCATTCCTTGCTAGGACCTTAGCTAGCCCTTTTCAAAAACACTATATGAATAGAATTGATATCGATAGTGAAATAGAATATTGGAACTTCTAACCTCTATTCTAGGGTGACGCTAAAGGCTAGACTTATTTTGCCTTTATCGAATAATAGCCTTTCCCCTTACTTTTCTCTCTTGTAAAACTCCTCCCTATAAAGAGATCTGAAAAAGCCTTATACTATATATTGCCCTAAATTTTTGTTTTGAAGTAGGCTAATATAATCCGACTTAAAGCCCAATCGCGAAGCTAATATAGCAAGCTTACTCAAGCTCATATCTACAGTGGACTATTCAAATTGTTGACGAATATTTCTCAGGCGGCCTCCTTAGTGGACGAAATGCCTATAAGTGAAAAGCTAAAGCTATATTATAGATATAGCGAACTCGTGTTTAGTTTACTAGATACAAGACGCAGCGCGAGGAAGTAAAAGAGAGAGGCTTTCTCGCGTTTAGGGGAACCCAGATGTACCATATGGGTCCCGCAGATCATATCCCTATTAGTCCTGTATGCTTCATGTATATGTATCATAAAATATTAAGCACGTTCCAGCGAAACATTCATGCAAATCACTTTCATGCCCCACCATACCCGTCGATCTTATAACACGCAGAGAAGATGTGATTCACAGCTAGATGATTGCTCATTATACCAAAAGCATATTGGTTCGTGTCCGCAGTTATAAAGCACAACTGTCACCGTATCAAAAGACGCAAAGAAGCTTAAAGAAGGGCCGGAAAAAGCACCCTAGGTCAAAGTTCGATTCTGCCCTCTTATTGGACGGAGACGGAGGAAAAGAACGGTGATTGGCCACGTCTTTAAGAGGGTTCGCTATTTATGTTTTAGATTTAGATAGATGTACTCCGTACTATGCGGAGGAAAGTTTATCTCCGCTCCACATTTGATAAGACCTCGGGATATTCGACTATTTCGAGATCTTGGCCAAATTAGAACACAGATCGGCTCATCGATTAACATGATATTGAGCTGTGTCATGTCGGTCTGGGATCCGGGTAGATTGCGACTGTTATACTGACGTAAACGCCTGAACCATATCAGCCTCTGAACAAAATAAAACTGTTGAGGTGGCCTTAGGCCCCACCTTGGTGCCTCAGGCATCAACCCCCAGGATTGTAGTTTATCTAGCAGTTTCTCTCCTTCCATAGCAATCAACTCTCTCCCTCTCGACTTCCCAGACTTAGTCTGTACAACAAAAACCCCTTCTTCTCTCCTGTCCCATTCTTCTGCAAACTTCTGACACAAGGAAGTCTATTCCTCACTCTTCAATGTGCTCAACACGATGGTCGCCTTAAATCTACCAAGGTTTTCCTCGGTTGGTTCTTGTAATCTTTTCCTGAAAGAAATACGCGCTAATTTGTCTTGCCTAGTTCCAGACTATCGAGAATCGCAACATCCTCCAGCCTCAGAAATGCCAAGTTGATGAGGCACTGGACAAAAGCCGGGACTATTGGTATCGCCTCGCATCACTAGCCTACGCCTATCGGGATAACGGCTTGACTCCCGCGTATACAAACCCCCACCACACCCTTCATAGAATACCTAAATTCCAAGGCCGACCCAGAACGATCCATGTTCGCCCTTATGGAGTCTCTCCAATTCCTGTGCTTTGCATGCAAGCCTCTTCTACTTGGAGATTGGTAGGAAACTCGAACTGCGATATGATCGAAAAAGAAATTACACATTCTGCCCTTCTGAAGATTGGCACCGGTGTTGCTATTCCCTACAGTTTTTGTGGGAGAGTCTTCAGTTCTTGGATTGGCACGACAGAAGAGAGTCGCACCGGTCCCAATTATCTAGGAATTCTCACAGTTGCATGGTGTTATATTCTCTCTGCGCGGCTCGTGGAAATCCAAGGGGAGGGAGCTCGTATGCAATACATAGGCTCTGAGACCGATGGTGAAAGCCTTTGCGATTCCCTAGAGACATATACCATTGACGTTGGGGGAGCGGATGAGAATGTGACTTGATGGTGGTTTGCGATACTCGCTCAACATGAAGGGTGGAAAGCGACTGTGAAACAAATTCCTGAAGGCGAATTCCTCGTACCGTGGGCGGTGTCCCGTACGTGTCAAATACGCTTCAAAATCAAAGACAAGAGATATTCGCCGGCTTCAATATGCTCTCCTTTAACTTCAGAATAAGCGTTTGACGCCCTCACTGAGTTCGCGCGTTTTCATGGACTGTGTAGCCAACTACCTATCGCTCTTATGGCAGCTATGACGTTTCCGACGCATTAATACTATGGATCGATTGTCCAACTACTATTTCCAAGTGCAACTGGTGGTACCACAGCTTCAAATTCGTTGCTATGGCCAAGTGTAATCAAAGAGCTGCCCTACTATATGACTCTGAGCTGTAGCCCGGAAGTAGTGATGTCGACTCTTTGCGGATCATTCTGGGAACTCGAAGTTCCTTGTAATCTCGTCGGTCCCTGGTTGCATCCGCTTCTTAACGAGGTACTAAGTGGAACTTCCGGCACGGTTGACTATGATTACGAAGTGCTTGCTTTAATGGGTGCTATACGTCGACCAAATATCAGTGCTCTCTGGATTGGGGCGGCGACAAGCGGGTTAGCCCCAAAAATCATTCAAAAGGTGAGAAGAGGCAGGCCTCCTCTTGACGCACTTGCCTTTCCCTGGACTGGTTGTCCTCAAAGCTTTATGGATACTGCAGGCTTAGGTCTATATACTTGTGTGGATGCAGAATACATTTCAAGGCTAGACGTATGGCGCTTGCTCCATCTCCCTCAAAAGGAGGGCGACGGCTTATGCTATCGCAACAGACCCTGCACACCATGGGCACCCTGTGGAGCCTCTAAAACAAAAGATTGCGCCCTTCGCGTGACCTTACACTTAAGATGCAATCGACATGAGTACCATTACGACCATTGGAACTGGGACCTAGAAGAAGATGCTGTTTTTCAGGATCCTGGATTTTCAACAACAACTATTTCAACGACCACCGAATATCCTACCGACATCTTGGATATCAAGGAACCCATAAATTTTCAGAAGAAGGAACTTGATCAAATGGCCTCTCAAGAAGCTTCACTGGATATCTTCCGTTGGTTCTTTATCAATGGGGAGGGTATACCTCCAGAGACCATATATGAAGACGATTGGCTTAAAGAAATATGGGATGAAGACGAAAGTGGCGAGGAAGCTGATGAGGCTGGTGATCAAGACTCGCAGGGGCTTGCTGCTACAAGTAGAGATCGGGTGGAAACCTGGCTTAGTTCAGTCGCCTAAAGGAATTTCTTTTATCTGCCAAGTATAGTTGTTTATATATTGGTGGTTCTTGAGATTTACTTGGTCAAGCCTGGAAATACTCGAAGACCTGAAGAATAACGAATATTTAGACCGACTCCCAGGCCAAACATCTTAAGGGCTTAGAAAGAAGGTCCGAGCCAGGGATTATTGCCCGTTATAACGGTAGTGCTCAGAGCTAGTGTGTTCGGAACTCCGTCGGTCCCAGACTCACAACTCCTACATCAGGCTTTCCGAAATATCACTAGGTCTTTCGCTTATCAATCTGTTTTAACTAACTATTTTGGGACGGTGAATTATCTAGCCTGTGATTGGTTTAGTTTGGTTTGTTGTATCTCGAGCTGAAACCCGCTCGCACTCAGGATCCGATTTTAACCAGATAAGCATCGTCCCTCGAATCGCACATGTGTTAAAAAAATCAACAACAATATATATAATCATCGGGTGGCACGAACGATGACAACAGAAGTCCAAAGAGGTCTGAAGATGCAGGAAAGTCGACTTTTATCAACTCCGCAATCTCAACTAGATGAACAGGACGATGAGGAATGGTCTCCGATTCAGCTTGCCGCTGCGCAAGGGAACCTATGCCAGGTACAGCGGCTCTTAGCCCAACTAGTGGACCCCAATGATCCCCCTAAAGGCTACTATGGGCAGACAGCCCTTCAAGCCGCCTCCAATAATGGACATCTCGCCGTGGTTGAGACGCTGTTAGTGGCAGGGGCAGACGTTAACGCTCCTGGTGGAAACAATGGTGGCAGATCAGCAGTTGTACTGGCCTCTGGAGCGGGCTATCTGAATATCGTCAACCACTTAGTTTCCGCCGGAGCCGATATCAACTGCCCACCCCATCAGTATGCGGGACGAACAGCCTTACAGGCCGCCGCCGAGGGTGGCCATATCGAGCTACTGAAATGGCTGCTTCAGCAAGGCGCAGAGATTAATGCTCCTACAGCCAAGAATTCAGGTCGTACCGCACTTCAAGCTGCTGCGTTACAAGGTCACGCCGATATCGTGGAAATTCTCCTACACCACAAGGCCTGCGTGAATACCCGAGCCGTAAGGTATAAAGGCTTTACGGCCCTTCAGGGCGCAGCCTTTAGCGGTCATCGCGAGATTGTCCGTCGACTGTTAGATGCAGGAGCCGATGTGAACGCTGAAGGCTCATATTATAACGGATTTACGGCGCTTTCGGCAGCGGCAGAATCTGGCCATCATGAGATTGTCCGGATGTTACTCGATGCGGGGGCAGATGTCTCCCTCACATCAGGAAATAAAAAGTGGACGGCAGCACAGATTGCGACCTTCAGAGGGCAAAATGCCATCACGCAAATTTTCCAACAGATTAACCAGACGGAGAAGATAGTCTAAGTATTCTGTCAAAGTCCAAGGTTGAATACATGGATTTACATGGTATCATACCGTCATTTTAGTTAGAGTTGTCAGCATCTGCCAGTACCATACATTGCAATACAGACACTTCTACGCAGCACTTAGATGAGTTTATGAGAGTATAACTATAGAAAAGGAAGAGAAGCTAAGAATTTACCTAAACGGCGATGATGACCCCGCAGTGCAAAGGTACCTATTTAGGCTGCTCCACCTCCAGCTTGTCGGTACCTTTAGTCTCATCCTGATATGAACTCGGGTTAGGGCTCTGATGGATTGCGTGGTCCTTGGAGTTATGAGAAATATAACGGAAGTGCCTGAAAGTGGCTAGTAACCGAGTGACGCGATTTGTATCCACGTTCACGCCAGTGCGGACTTTCCGATAACACGCACTTTCATTTCTTCTTCTTGGTTATCGAGGTCTCCAGCCTTCCATACGGGCGACTAAGTATGCCACCGGCACATAACTAACTAGTTACTTAACTGAGCAATGTTTAGATGGTTTTAGCAGGGTATATATATACATATACATATATAACCCCTGAATTTCTAGTTTAATCAAACATCTTTAAGCATCTACAACATTAGTGGATCTAAATTACTGCTGGCAATATGAACCAATGAGAGAGTTATGTGTCGGGTGGCATACTTCGTCGCCCGTACTTCCAGTGCCACTCCACAGACACCCCCCATGGCGACTAAGAACGGCTTCCTGCCGTTGAAGACGCCTCGTGATTTCGCACAACCCTCCATTTTTCGTTGTCTTCGTTATGGAAAACTCCTACTGGGAGCCTTATTGCTGGCAGCAGGCCTGGCGATGTTGATCCAAACCAAATATCTCGCCAACAGCAATGCATCCAATAGTACTGGTCGAGAGACCTTTTACGAAGGTCTGAACAAATGCCATGAAGCTAGGTATCAGTATGAGGCACCTCAATCAACAGAGGATCGGGAAAACTCACGGTGGAACTCGGCCTCCGGCCAGAAAACACCAATCCTGATCCAAAATGCCACGCTGTTCGATGGCGAGGCCGTCCTTCCAGAGACAGTCGATATCACATTCGAGGCAGGCGTGATTCGTTCTATATCACCTGCAACCTTGAACTACCAAGCTCCTAAGGATGCTCAAATCGTCAACGCCTATGGAAGATTTGTCACCCCTGGATTGGTGGATATGCATTCTCATCATTTGTTACTCCCCTTCCCCCACCTTCCATCTACCAGCGATGTCAACGAGCGCCCAGTCCTAGGACCCATCACTCCATTTGTTCGGTCGTTGGATGGATTCAAGCCATATGACCCGGCGATTCAGATCATCGCATCGGGTGGTGTCACTTCTTCCTTGGTTCTACCAGGATCGGCGAACATTGTCGGCGGCGAAGCATATCTGGTAAAGAACTTGGCAACGCCAGGTCAAAATTCCGAGCCGGTAGTCGATGAATTACTACTTGATTACGGCATCGCAGAAAAGGCCGAAAGAGATACTTGAAAATGGCTTGTGGGGAGAACCCCAAGGGCATCTATAAGAACACCCGGATGGGTCTAGTGTGGCTTTTGCGCAAGCATCTCGCGGAGGCACGAGAGCTGCAAGAGCGCCAATCTGCCTGGTGTCGGACGGCTGCTGGTATTGACAATACTCCCTTTTCCCAGTCTCGACAAATTTCACAGTTCTTAAAAGACGAAGGGAGACGACCGGAGTCCTTTGAACTTGAAACTTCTCTTGCACTTCTCCGAGGCGAGCTCAATGTCAATGTGCACTGCTACGAGCCGGAGGATCTTGAGCGCATGTTATCAGTGCTTCACGAATTTGGCATCCATCCCAATGCTTTCCACCATGCGCTAGAAGCGTGGGAAGTGCCTGAATTGTTAAAATCCCTAGAGGAGTATGTGCCCTTCTTCTTGTCGACTTCATTTGCTAACGAACCTCAGAAACATCACTATTGCCACTTTTGCAGAGAATGCGCTTTACAAAGCAGAGGCATATGGGGCAAATTTACGGGGGCCTAAAATTTTGTCCGATCATGGTGTCCAAGTTGCACTGAAGTCGGTATGAAATTTCTCCTTTCGTAAAGCGATGTTTGACCCATCTAACATCAAAAGGATCATACTGGCGAGGGCAACTATGCAAAGTACCTTGTGTGAGTGGACGGAAATCACTACATTCAATGGCCTAACAATCATCTAACCTGATATCCTACAGTTACCAGGCCGCAGTTTCTCACTCGTTCGGTTTGTCTGAAGAAAAGTCTCTTCAAGCCGTGACATCTGTCCCTGCTAGATCCATCCAACAAGATCATAGAATTGGATATGTCCGTCCAGGATACGATGCAGACATCGTGATTTGGGATGATCACCCGCTCCAAGTTGGTGCAACTCCAACTCAGGTATTTATTGATGGCCGGCCTGTCCTGAAGAATAATGATAATACTCACGAATGGACTACTGGAAAATCTGGCTCTGGAAAACCTGAGGCTCCTCAAATCCGACCATCTCTTGAAATAGGTCAGAAAGAAGATATATGCACCAAAGTCCAGCAGGTTGGTTCACGGATCCTGTTTACTGGCATTCAGAAGCTCTTGGTTGATACACACGGCCCATCTACGAGTGCCACTAATGACCTCGTTATGCTGGTTGAGGATGGTCAAGTGAAGTGCCTTGATAAGAGATCCTCATGTCTCTCCAGTGAGATTCAGGAAAATACCCAACATATCGCTTTGAAGAACGGTCACGTCCTGCCTGGCCTCGTAGCCTTCGGCAACAAACTCGGAATCCAGTCCATCCGGTCTGAACCCACAACTGGAGATGGCTGGGGTTCGAAAAACGGGGATGCACTGAACGAAAAGAAGTCACTCCACTTCGCCAAGTACGGCGTGCATCTTGATGGCAGAGGACTCGCGAGGGCCAGGATTGGAGGAGTCACGCGAGCCGTCACTGCACCTCTTCATGGTGGCGGTGTTGTTCAAGGTGTCAGTGTTGGATTGCGCACGAGCGCAAATGCCACGATTCTTGATAATGGTATCTGGAAGGATGATGTGGCACTCCATCTCGTGATAGGTCAGGCTGCTAAAAGTACGAGATTTCCTGACTTGGCATATTCGGGATCGAGCTAATCTGATTTCTTTCAGGTGATGATACACCAACCGTCTCTTCTGGCATTGAGAGACTACGTCAGTTGCTTCAGGCGGGCGAAGATGCCGCACCCGGGAGCCTCGACATTTATGCTAGGGCTGCGAACGGCTTACTCCCTGTGGTTGTACAGGCATTTAATGAGGTAAGCTGTGGTTATACTTCTTCGCCGTTGAAACCGCTCTTGAAGTAACTGACTCAATATTGTCAGGATGACATTGCGCAATTGATCCTGGTGAAGCGTGAGTTCCGATCAGTGAACCTGATCATACACGGCGGCCACGGCGCTCCATTGGTAAGATACTATCATCTCACTTGACCTGGGTAGTGGCATTTATGCTTACTTCGATGCTCAATAGGTTGCCAAGCCTCTCGCCGAAGCAGGAATTCCTGTCATCCTCACTGGTAACCGGGGTGCCCCTGATACATGGGAGAAGAAGAATGCCCTCACAGGGCCCCCACTTACAGAGAGCCCTGCTAAGATCTTATCCGACGCCGGTGTTTTGCTTGGCCTGGCTGCGAAAAGTGATTCAAATATTCATGGTCTAGCACAAGAAGCTTGGTGGGCTGGCAAGTATGCCGGTCTAAGTGATCAGCAGGCCATTGCCCTTGTTTCGACCAATTTTGATCTTATCCTTGGAGGTCAGTCGAAGAAGGTCGAAGAGGGAGAATTGGCCGGGGACTTTGTCGTCTGGGAAGGTGATCCCCTGAGAGGAGAAGGTTCTGTTGTTGCTTCTTTCCAAGATGACGGGAAGATTGCCGATTGCTGGCCTGATACCGTTGATGCTATTTTATGACCGCAAGGCCATTGTATATAGCATAGTTTGTCTTCAGCGCCTCCTTTCTTCTGGTTTTTGGACCGTATCATTCCTTAATTTCGAACTCGTAACGATTGCCGGCGAATCCGTGATTTTCTTTCAAACCAGATTGAGTCGAGAATTAAAGCATTTCTGCGGAGATATACCACTTTGTCAACAGAAGCCTTCCAGAGCTCCTCATCCGCATTAGATACAATCTAGGAGAAGCACACTTGGACATGGTAGGATTACCCGGGGACTGTAGGAGTGCCCAACAAAGACCAGAACACAAAGATATCTGTGTGAGGGTGCGTTTCCATGAAATTGAGCGGACTTCGTCACGGCCGATGACACGATTTACCCATGCCTCACAGACACCGTGATAGATCTCTGGCAGAATATGCGCTTCCGACGTGGTCAGGGTCGAGGGTATAGAAACGCCCCATCCCTAGTTGCGTGCCTCCGCAGACTCTTCGCGCTCAAAGAGTGTACAGGGAACTCCATGACGACGCAGGGCATGGGCCAGAATCAAACTCTCCTGTCAGATTTTCTTAATGGGGAGATTTCAGACGCTGGGCTCTACTATCATTGAATTTCCAGAGCCGTTGTACTCCGCATGGTGATCGGTAAATATATATTGACTATTTGGTCGTGAGTACACGGACTCAAACTAACTTGAGCAGATCGCGGCTAGGGAGTCAACCATGCCATTGTGGATGCCTGTCAACTCGCAGATGCTATCAAGTCACCTACCGATGGCCACGTGTCATTTAGTGATTCCATCGGGGATTATGAGAAGCAGATGCGCCCGTGGGCTGAAGAAGCCGTCGAAACTATCAGACAAGCTGGACGCAATGGCCATTGCTGAGCCAAGGTTGATAAGGGGGCTTTGCTCTTCTATGTGAGAAGCCAAGTCTAATGGTCTCTCTGGGATTTTGGCCCCTTTTGAGTCTATTGGAACCCACCCCTTCTGTTTGGGATATAGGATGTCGATCATGTTTCACTCCACTACAATTTATACCGCACAATACTCGGGCAAATAGCTACGTAGTATGTCGCTTAATCAAGTGCACCTGTATCTAATGCAACGGAGGTTTAGCAAAATAAAAAAGAATTGTTCTTTGAAAGCTAACAAGTTCAAGCTTCACCATTACTCCCAGCAATCTATTGATGTTAGCAAATAAGCTTGACAATACCCCCAAAAAGAAATCCATCCATGTAGAGCATTTTTAGCAACTACCAAACCGTTTCTGACATTACTGAATCGTTCTCCTCCTGGGCAACCAGTTTGCCACCGACAAACTGCCATGCTGGATCACAGATTGGTGCCTCATCGATCAAGTCAAATGGGTTCTCAAAGTTACCGTCCACTAATCCCCAGATTGAGGCTAGGCAGATCCTACGATAGTACGGATCCTCCCTCTCATCCGGAGGACACTCATCGTCGGTGAATTCGGCTTCATCGTCATCCATGGTGTCATCTTCATTCATGTAGCGTTCGAATTCTTCAACTGCACCATCAGAGAACTCATATCGAACCAAATTCTCCTTCATTGCTTCCTTAGTAAGCGCCTCTTGCAGGTGTTGATTTTGCATTCCGAAGCTTTTCAGTTGGAGATCCTTCAGATCCAGGCCCTTCTTACCATCCTCAGAGACCGCATAGCGCATCGCAAAGTACTCCTTGTCATCCTCGGAAAGCTCAAATCCCCGAGCCTTCTTGCAACAACCACATTCGACAGTGCAATGCCCAACTACAGGACTGCCAATCTCGTAAGGTTTACGATGAAGGCAACATCCACAGTCACGCCCACAGCAGCCTCCCATCCTAGCACAATCCTCTCGAAGAACACGATGCATATACCATTTAGGATTTGACCGCCAGTACTCAAAGGCTCGCTCCAAAGGTCCATCGAAAGATTGCCGGATCATCTGCCACTCGTGCTCAAATCGTTTATATTCCTTCGTTGTGGCCTTGACCTCGTTCTCGAATTTTTCTGGATCATTCTTGTACTGTTCCATCAAACATATTTCCCTTTGAGCAATCTCTCCGAGTTTGGTTTCCACGTCGAGGAAATCCGCCAAACGATCTTCTTTCCCCTCGAGGTCTTGTTCGTAGACGTGCCGCTCATATCGGTGTCGCTGAAGGGCGTTCATATCTCTACCCTGTTTGAGTTTTTCTTCGATCGTGTCTACCATACCACTCTGAAACTTCTTGGATATCGCCCGCCTGATTATATCGGGTCCATTCAAGTCAAACTCGTTTTCAACATCTTGGAGCTTTTCGATTCTTTCTTTGATTTCGCATTCATACTTTGCGAGGTTGAATTTGTTTTGTTCAATTTCGAGCCCCTGCTTTTCAATTTCCATTTTTTGTTTTTGGAGTGAAAACTCATGCTTTTCGAGGTCAAGGTCCAATTCACGCCTTCGAAGTAAACGTTCACGGTCTTGGAGCTGCCCCAACGCGGTTTGGCTGCTAAGATTGCCCATTTTGAGGTGTTTTTTTTTCTTTTTTTTTTAAAAGACCAGATGGCAAAGGCGAAGTTGGATTGTTTCAGTTGGATTGTTTCAGGAAGTGGGTTGGGATTATTGATCCTTTTAGAATATTTCTATCGACAGTTCATCGTGATGTCAGGATATATAGTACTGTATATCTTGTCGCAATATCTTTTGCTCATGATCTCATTCTGAGCCATCTATACGCCGTACAATCTGTTGTATACTTCCAAGAGTATATGTCCCAGATAGGCAAATAATGAATTTAATGGCTATGATTAATTTGATTGGTCCAACCATACCACGTTGACCCCATCAGCCCCATGGCCCTGCCGCAAGTGGAGATCGGCACGCTGACATAATCCAGGGCACCCGCGAAAAAGCCGCATTGAGTCGTGTGCCCCCCCCGAAGCTTGTTCCTTTTTTTCGCTCGTTGACTCCTCTCCTTTGTCGGGAATACTCTTATACAAGACGCATCCTCCCCATCCAATCGCGTCGACCCGACTTCTTGTTTGTTATAGCGACCGTGTATATCCCCCTAACACAACCATGTCTCTTTTCCAGATCGCCTTTGACTATGCCGCGCCATTCTTGTATGTAGGCAAGAACGAGCTCCCAATTGATCTACAAGTTCCCAGTACTAACCACGCTTATATACAGCCTTATAAGCTCCCCCATCACATCCTATGCCGACCAGATCTTCAGCATTCATCGTACAAGAAGCTCCGGGGGCTTCTCATTGGATATTCCTCTGATTATGCTGATTTCGTCGATCCTGAAGTAAGATCCCAATCAACGGCGCGTCGGGCGCAAAATATTGACATTTTTAGGATTTTCTTTTGGTTTGGCGAGCACTACTCAATCACTTTGTTGACGCAAGCAATTGTCATGATCGTGGTCCAGATTACACTGCTCAAGGTTGCGCTCGATAATCGGCCCTCCGCCGGTGTGCGGAATGGAATTGAACATACACCCTTCAGCGGTGGTAACTCTGACGGTTCATCCTCGAGACCCTATGAGTTTTGGCAGTGGAAGACCACCAAGCCGTAAGTTCCGGCCCCTCCAACTACAGCGATTCAAACTAATCACCCATTCTCAAAGATATTGGATGTCTTTGGCTTACTTCGTCGGAATCTTGACCGTCATCCACCTGACCCCGGTCGCTCAAACGCAATTCTATATCAGCCTCATTGGCTACAGCGGACTCGCCATCGAAGCTACCCTCCCGATCCCTCAAATCATTGCCAACCACCGATCCGGCTCGTGCAAGGGCTTCCGAGTCTCCGTCGTCGCGGCATGGATTCTCGGTGATACCATGAAGATGAGCTACTTTTTCAACAGCTCCGAGACCATCCCCTGGGCGTTCAAGCTCTGTGGTATCTTCCAGTGCATTTGCGATTTCTACCTGGGCTTCCAGTTTTATTACTTCACCCGAAACACCCCCACGCAAACCCCTTCCCACTCCCACTCCAGCTCGCTCTCCGACTCGTTCAACCCACACTCGCACTCCAACTCCCTCTCCCACGCTTTCCCTATCTCCACCTCTCACTCCCGTTCTACCTCCCAGACCGCCGGCGAGTCTATGGAGCAGAGCGGCCGCTGGGGTCACCACGAGAAGGATATCCGGATGGACTGAAATACCTGGGATGAAGTTGAGACTAGACTCAATATTTATGTAGATAGCTAGCATTGGCAAACCGCATTATAGATCTGTAATTTGAATGAGACAATGTCAATATTATGACGTTTTATCGAAAAGAATTGTCGGTCCTTCTCCGATTGCGCGCGTCGGGGTGAGGGGCTTGCCCCGCGTCACTCGGAATGCCGCTCTGCTCCGACATCTGCGCCAATATCTTCCCAACGCACCCCCAGGTCTACTGCTTCTGTTTAGTATCCCAATCAGTACTGCTGTCAATATTTGCACAATGTCTGACTTGCCCACAATTCGCATCGGCTATGTGCCTGGTACGTCAGCCCCTCCCTCCTAAAGCTGTATTGCCATCTCCAAGCTAGTTGCTTCTGTTTCAACGACGCCTCCCAGTCATTCCCACTTTTAATTAGACAGGATATAGCTAACGATAAGCTTTTCACACCTAGAGCACTACCTAACCCCACTCCATCTCGCCCTCCGTTCCCCGGCTGTTGCCTCCCTCTCATTCAAAATCGTCCCAACCCCCTTCCCCTCCGGGACGGGACATATGATCACATCCCTCCGCGGCAATGAAATCGATATCGCCATCGGTTTGACAGAGGGATGGGTCGCAGGCCTGGCCGGAAAGCAACAAGCGAGCCAGACCTCCGCCGATTCAGATGGCGGATACAAGGTTATCGGCCACTGGGTAGACAATCCTCTGCGCTGGGCTATCGTCACCGGCCGCAATAGAGATGAGATTAATGGGGTGTCAGACCTGAAGGACAAGAGGGTTGGAGTCAGCCGGCTGGGAAGGTAAGCCGCCTCAACATTGAGTCATGGCAGCCACATTGTAGCTTGGAGACTAACACGTCGACCTGTAGTGGCTCTCATATCATGTCCTTTGTTCTGGCCCAGCAACAAGGCTGGAAAGCTGATTCCTTGACTACCGTCCCTCTGGGACCGTTCGGACCCTTGCGGGATGGCATGTCCGGCCTCGATGAGTCAAAGCCCGACGAGCCCGCGAACCCCTCCGCTGAGTTCTTCATGTGGGAAGAATTCACCACGAAGCCTTACTTCCACCCCACAGCTGAGAAGCCGAACCCGCCGCTTAAGAAGATTGGCGAGATTTTCACCCCGTGGCCTTCATGGATGATTGTCGCTTCTACTGCTCTATTCCCTAACCCTGAGCAAGACCAGCGCTTGGAGAGTCTCTTCCAGGCTCTGGATCAGGGAGTCAAGGATTTCGAGGCTGATACAGCGAGTGTTGTTAAGCTTTTGGGTACTGGCGAGCTCGGTTGCAATTATATCGAGGAGGATGCGACAGAGTGGCTTAAGGATGTCAAATTCACTAATGCTACTCGGGGCGTTGATGATAAGATTATTGGTGGTGTTGTCGATGTGCTCAAGGTGGCTGGTGTTATTGACTCGGCTATGAGTAGTGATGAAGCTATCCAGCGTGTCATTGGGATTAAGAGATAGATTCTTTATTGATTGAACATAGAAAAGTCATAATATAAACAATATCCGGGGCAGTAATACTGCTCAGGCCACACACGCATCCAGCTAAGCCTTGTCAAATCAGCCATTATACATAACTAGTTCTATCAGAAACATTGATTTTGTAAGAATTGTTCTTCTTAGTGGTGGGTGGGTATTCTCTAGCTTATAGCTAACATGGTATCAGAACCAGCTAGCTATCTACGACCCAGCTGCCGTGTTTGAGTTTCGTGTTCTCCGGATAGAGGGATGGAGGTGAACCCTTCACGATGACATCTCAATAGTCTATCCCAGAGATTTGGGAGACTGGTTAAATATTTGTCGTCTTGGATGGATCTACGCAAGCATCCTTTATCATCCTGGGTGTAAGCACTGAAAGCTAGGGGAAGGTAAAGATGAAGTATTATTCTAACTGTACCGGTCCTACTAAAGGGGCCCGTAGTAAGGTGATATCACCTCACTGTCGATGACATCTACCGCTCCCTAAAGAGTCGACCGACCTCGGGCGCGGTACTGGGGTAAAGTACATGTTCGCAAAGAAAAGTCGACGGGGACGCAGTCTCCGGACATCAAATAAAGCGCAGTGTAACGGGCATAAAACCGACAAGGGGAGGTCGACGGCGATACGCCGGACATAGGGTAGAGCAAAATACAAGTCACCGTCGGAGAAAGGCCGACGGTATTAGAAATAGAGAGAGAAATTCCAAGGATGTTGGATCTCTTCGTTTCCAGCATTCACGACGAGTCATCATCATTGCTCTCTCTCTTCGTCTGATTCTGTCGGACCATAAGCTTCCGCATAGTCTGCGCGTACACTCTCGAGTGCTGCCTTCAGCATCCGTCCTTGCCGGTCGTCCCTCAGGGCCAGACGCTGTGCCATATCCGAGGCCATGTCGTTGAAGTCCTCATGGTCTCTTAGGACCTCTTCATGCAGGCTTAGAATGTGTTGTGCTTCGGGGGTGTTGAGCTCCGCCTGCATATTAGTGATCCATCGCGCACTAGCCAGGAGAGAGGGTTAAGGGAGAAAGAGAAGTAGAGAAAGAGAAGTAGAGAAAGAGAATAAGAGAAAGAAGTGAGAAAGAAGTGAGAGAGAGAGGAAGACTAGAACTCTGAAGAACGATACGAGGAATATACCACCTTCAGATAGCTTGGGCCAAGGAGCTGACAATTCCCCCTTCCCCAAAGTGACCCTCATGATAGAACCAGGCCGTACAATCGCCTCTATAAAGGACCTTCTCAAACCCAACGTTCGAACACTGAAATTCCCGCTTTTGATGGCTTCGTCTCTGCTATTTCAATTGTCAGCCTTGCAACTGCAACAGTCACTGAGCATAAGGGTGATATAAGCAAAGTGATGGATGTGATTATGTCTCTTACCAGCACTTGAACTGATCAGCAGGCCCATAGTCTTCGGTATCCTACAAGATGCTGCGGGATATTGGTTAACGTGGTATAACCCCGTTGGCATTTTGGTTGTTGATATCATCGCACGTTTGTTGATGATAGAAAATCCACAGTACTCGAGCCCTGCTTCCTCTGACAACGCTGATGAAACAACAACCCTTCTCCCCTCGGAGACGCAAATTGAGACCCATCATGCATCTAGCGCATTCGGACTCTGGTCATTCCTGTATCGTGATAGTAACCGTAACAAGACAGGTGTTGGGCCTGTAGAAGTTACCGGTAACTCCTGGTCGATTTTTGACTTGGAGTATGATCGGTTTGATTCGACACTCGCCTAGCTTCTGTTAGAGCTTATGGGAAAGCGACACCAGGCATATTTGGACCTCATGGGGGTCTCTCGTCTTTATGCTAGTACTAATGTAGCAGCAACTAGCCGGATGACCATTGGCCCAGCCATGGCTGGATTCGTACAGGAAAACACTTCCATGAATTGGGTTTTCGGTAAGTGATCCGTTGCATTCCCGGGGAGATTGTGTGTCAAACTTCTTTTTGGTTGAGATTGGCAGGGGCAAGGTTATACATATTATGCTGGCTATTTTTGCTGTGAGCTGTCTGCGATCGAAATAATTTCCGACGTTGGGAATCTCATTGCAGCATTCGACGCTAACCCAATTGGGCAAGCCCGTTCGGTATAGATCTATAGATGTGATGGTGGCTTGCATTCTACAGCGGGATAGCTCGAATTTATGACCAATACAGGGTCAAATTACGTTGGATAGGCTAAATCTAGGGTGCTCGTCTATTTGGGTACTTGTGGTCAACGGGTTGTGGTATGGGTTCTACTGATATATATATATTGAGGCTCCATTGGGTCTCCTGTTCTACGCGAATATTCCTCAACACCTAAATTATTCTTTCTTTTAAGAACATTAACCTTGATATTGTAGAAAGAACTTGAATATTCAACTGACTTAGCAAATCAAAGAAGTTACAACCTAATTGTCAATAGATTGTCGAATCAGAGCTGGTAAAATATTGTTTAACTGAATGGTGTACCCCCTACCACCCAGATGACCCCCGAGATGACCACCCAGATGACAAGGGATGCGGCTCCTGACCGTAAGCTGGCCGGGAATAGGGTACAATCTCTACCCAATCGTCAAATGCTCATGGCCTCGAATTTGATTTCACCCTCCACAACATGCTCATCCCTCGGTGCATTCTTGGATCTACTCCCAGTCCCCTGACAACAACACCGGAATGTAAACCTGGACCCCGGCACACACTCCACAATCTTGTTGAAATTATCATCTGGAAATATTACTTACTATTTGGACCATTTGGAGCCGAGGAATGGCTCCAAACTCTTTTTTTTCTAGATCGCTGGCGTGGACATGTGGATCATACCATGCGCTGAGGGCACCGGGTGTGAGGCACCTGAATGGGCAACGCGGCCATTGTTTCTTGAGAATGACAAGGACAAAAATACTTCGTATACTATTTAATGATGTGCGATGCTCATTCATGATGAGGCTCGGTGTTCTGACATCTCCTTGTCGTTTCCGTCCCCATACATCCCCTAATCCCATATATTAATTCATTCCTTAATACCTAAATATACAACTCAATCACATAGTCTACTGCGCTTGTCATCATGCGTCACTACCAGGGTGTCCTCCCTTGGTCTATTTTGCTGGCTTCAATTGGAGGAGCACAGGCGAAGCTGGACTTGAACTCGACCAGCAACATCGTTGTTTACTGGGGTATGTGATCCTTGATTGTTTGGGCGAGTGAATACTAACATGAGATACATTGAAGGCCAAAATTCTTTTAATGGCAAGGGTGATAAGGCACAGCAGCCTCTGGCACACTATTGTGATAGTGAGTGAACCCTATATCTCAGATGTGGAGTTTGGAGCTAACAAGAACCGCTAGATGATGACATTGATGTAGGAAACAGATCACCGAGGAACGTTTTTGAATTGCCAGGCTAACAAAATCACATAGGTGATACCGATGGCATTTAACATGATGGTCAATGGCCCAGGAGGCGCTCCAGAGATTGATTTCTCGGTTACCAGCAAGGACTGCGACGTCTTCGAGGGCACCGAATTGAAGAACTGTCCCTCAATTGCGTAAGTGTGACTAGATTCCATGCAATTTGCCAGACGACTAACATCATCTAGCAAGGACATCGCGACGTGCCAAAAGAAGCACAAGACCATTCTTCTTTCAATCGGTGGAGCCACGTACAGCGAGGGCGGCTTCAAGTCTGAAGAAGAGGCCAAGGATGGCGCGAAGCTGATGTGGGAGACCTTTGGCCCTAAGCAAGATGGCTCCAAAGCCCTTCGTCCCTTCGGTGATGCTGCCTTGGATGGCTTCGATTTCGACTTTGAGGCCAATGTCCAGAACATGGCCCCGTTCGCCAACGAACTGCGCTCATTGATGGACGCAGATAAGAGCAAGCAGAAGTTCTACTTGACAGCAGCACCGCAATGCCCCTACCCAGACCAGGCAGACAAAGAGATCCTCAACGGTCCTGTCCACATCGACGCGATCTGGGTACAGTTCTACAACAACTTCTGCGGCGTCAACAACTTCAACACCGACCCCTCAAGCAACAAATACAATTTCGACGAGTGGGACAACTGGGCCAAGACCGTGTCTAAGAACAAAGATGTAAAGGTCATTGTCGGGGTGCCGGCATTCACTACTGCGGCGAGCACAGGGTATATCCCGGCGACCGAGTTGGCCAAGGTGATTGAATACACGAAGAAGTTCGAGAGCTTTGGGGGTGTAATGATGTGGGATGCCACACAGGCCTACGGCAACGAAGGGTTTATCAAGGACGTTAGAAAAAGCCTGGGACCTGCGCATGATTCCGGTTCGTCGTCGCCCGACCCGGTGTCAACCTCGGCACCTGCCTCTACGTCCACTGACTCAACGAAGCCAACAAAACCAACGACCACGAAGTCGACGACGAAGTCATCTTCCAATGCACCCGACTCCTCACACTCGGCTTCCTCCTCCTCATCTGCTACTGCTTCGCCCAAGGGAGCTGAAGAAACCACCACCACTACCACCACCAAGGAACAGAAATCCAACCCTGCGGGATCAACTACTCTAGTCACTACAACCGCAGAGAAGAAGCCCGAGAGTACTGAAGTAAAGCCGACTCTTGCTGCAATCACATCTACTCAGACAACTGCGGCTCCAACCTCGACTGTATCTTCAACATCGACTGTATCATCAACCTCGACTGTATCTTCATCCTCGACTGTATCTTCATCCTCGACTGCGGCTTCAACCTCGACTGCGGCTCCAACCTCGACTGCGGCTCCAACCTCGACTACCAGTCCACAGAACGAGAACGACTCGAGCGAGGATGACTCAAATGATGATCCGGATAGCAACCCTCTCACCTCTATCCTCGGCAACGACCTTCTGGGCTTGCTGGGTGGCCTCCGCAAGGCGAATAAGGTTACTAGCGGCGTCACTCATGGCCTGAATAAAAATCTCCGCCGAGCTCAGCGTAGCCGTACCTAAGAGATTGAAGTTGTCCGCCAAGACCGACATCGTGATGGACGAGTCTCATTCCCCCTTCGGGATTTTTCTGTCGGCTACCATGGATGTACATGATGTACATTGTTGGAGTGTCAAGCGCATATGAAGAACTTTTACGATGAATTTGGCGTTATTTCAGACGCGCTGCGCTTTCATCTTTATTTTTCGGATTTTTTGGTCATCTTTTATACCCTTCGACTTCATTCTTTTGAACCCACCTAATTTCAGGGCTTACCCTCCTTTATATGATACCCAATATTTAATTTTGTCCTTTCGATCCTTGGAATATCAAAGTATATGTGTTTCTCTGTGCCTTCTCCGAATGAAATCGCTGTAATTTCATTCTGTCATGCAATGAATACATCTAGACACTAGTAGAATCAAGAGTGTAGCTCGTTTTTATATGTCTACCAACTGGTTCCATCTGTAAGAAATGTTTGAATTCAAAAGACTTGAAAAAACTAGAGGTATTTTAGCGGCATTAGGATACTTGCAAGCAGATTCAACACATTAGAGATTAACATAGACACCCTCGTGCTCTTGTAAGTTGCTCCCCTCCACCACCGAGAACACGCCATAATAATAACGCTCACCATCATCGACAATACCTAATTAGGCCAGGAACAGAACAAAAAAAAACATCCTTCCAACATCCAGCCATGATTAACATCGGACTTCATACCTTCCACTTGATATCCAACCCCTTTACTCAGCCTCCTCTTCCTCCTTGCTTGTAGCCAAAGAGAACCGACCCTTCGGCGTACCCCCTTCCTCATACTCAACAGTAAGACGAGAGAAGTGAGCCAGAATATTCTCGATTTTGACCTCCCCCTTATCGCGCTGGACACGACCTAAATTATCGAGCCACTTGATCTTGTTCAAGATGAAGTATACCAAAGCGATAACAATCGACACACCAAGTGAATAACCCCAGATTCGTACAACAGTGACGATATCAGTCCAGCCATTCCTGGTTTCGACAAACTTATCTGCCGGGTTGGTCTTCATGTTTTCGTTGGTAAACCAACCAAACAGGCAGAAGATAGTAGCCAAAATGTCGACACCCAGGATAGCAGTCACTAGATGGATAGATGGCCATGTAGCGATGCCGCGAGTGACAAAAATGAGCCAATTCTCTGTGAGTGCTACCTCCAAAAAGAGCACTTCTTGAATAGATCCCCAGTTTTGGATAATACCTCCGGATTTCAGGAACATACTGCCTCGGATAACCCACGTACCCAACGCAAGAAGCACACCAAGAGCAGAGGAAATGAACCAGATTTTCGGGAGCTGCCATTCAACAGGTCGCAACTCGAAAGAGGCATGGTCATAGGCCACCGCAACGGTCGCAAGATCGGCGAACAAAGCTAGGAAGACAATAAGCTCGACACGGATGCTTTCATTGAGGATGATCATTGAAGTCACGAGGTAGATCTCAAGGTGTAAGCACAGGGCAATGCGGTACTGGATGTATGATTTCATACGATGGAAGATTTGACGTGCAACCTTGATAGAATCAATAATAGTCGACAGCCCAGGCTCTAGGAACACGATGTCTGATGCAGACTGAGCGGCTTCCGAAGCGCCTTCAACGGCAATGCCACAGTCGGCTTTTTTCAAAGATGGTGCGTCATTTACACCATCACCGGTCATCGCGGTTAAGTGGCCTCGTTCTTGTAGCATCTGTACGACTTGGTACTTGTGTTCTGGGAACACCTCGGCAAAGCCGTCCGCCTTTTCAACAAGATCACTAGCCATAGCACCACTCAAACCGCCGTGAATTAGCTTATCTGAGTTATAAACCTTAGTACCCAAAGCCAACATCTTGCAGGTTTCTTTCGCAATGGCAATAGCATCACCGGTGAGCATCTTCACGCTGATACCGAGCTTCTGTGCTTCGCTAATAGTATGAGCGGTGTCTTCTCGGGGCGGATCAAACATAGGCAACATTCCAAGCAAAGCCCAATCTTCGCCTTCCTTTTGAACGGCAACGCCGAGAGAGCGGAAACCTCGATGCGCAAACTCTTGGGCTTTGGCCTTGTATAAGTCGGCAGACTCCTTTGAGCAGCTCGTCAACTGGAGCACAGCTTTCGGAGCACCTTTAGTGCAGGTATATCGAATGCCATCACAGGTGGCGATAGTGACGATGCGTTTTGAAACCGGATCAAAGGGCGTGAAGGTTTCAGTCGACCAACCCCGTCGCAAAATTTCTCGTGCTCTTGGGTATTGCCGAAGCGTCAAGATCGTCACCTTATCGATCGGATCGAGAGATTCAATATTGTGCGAGGATGCAAGAGCAGCAACGGCGAACATCCAGTCAACATCGACACCTTCAGCTACATAAGGATCCCGAATACTCAGTTTGTTTGCCGTCAGAGTACCGGTCTTGTCGGAACACAAAATGTCAACACCCTATTTCGCTGTTAGTATTTGCCGACAGTCCAAGCTGATGCAGACTTACGGCGAGCGATTCAATCGCAGTCAGCTTTTGCACAATGGCTTTCTTTTTCGCCAGGTAGGCGGCACCAACAGCCATGGTGGTAGTGGTGACAACAGGTAAACCGACAGGGACACCGATGATCAACAAAGAAAGAGTGTAGTGAAGCAAAGTCTGCTGACCAGGCGAAGCGATAGGGATATGCCGGAAGAATCCACCAATCCACGCAGCGAGGATCCAGGCCATAACAAGAATCAAGAGCGCTGTTCCGATATTGTCCATGACAAGTTCGAAGTGCCCAGCGCCTTTAGCAGATTGCACCATACTTGCAGTGCGGCCAACGAAGGAAGTCCTCGCACCCGTTTGAACGACTGCATAGGCCTTGCCACGCTTACAGCCAGTCGTATAGAAGATCATATCTCCCATATAACGATCCACGGCTAGTGACTCACCCGTGATGGCAGAGTGATCACAGGCCAGAATAGGATAACCGCGTCTGCGGGCCTTCTTGGCCTGGTGTTCGTCATGCTCCTTAGCCTTTCCCTCGTCTTCGTCCTTTTGCTTGTCGGTCTTGGTTGGGTCATCCTCTTCCTCGGACTCGGACCCTCCACCGAGCATACCCTGCTCTTGAAGCTGGTTGAACTCTTCCCAGCCATGTTCATCCTTGACGTCACAGATAACCCTGCAGTCCGCAGGCACGACTTGACCTTCGCCGACAACGACCTAGATTATTCATTAGGCTGTGATATACAATGTTGGGGCATCCAAGATATACTTACTACATCACCTGGAACCAACTCCCGAGCAAGACATTCTTGTTGAGTGCTATCACGAACAACCTGCGCACGCAGAGCAATGTCACCCTTGAGACTCGCAACCACATCAGCAGCCTGTTTCTCCTGGTACCAGCCCACTGCCGCGTTTAGACACAGGATACCAATGATGACACCAAAGTCAACCCAGTCCTCTAGACCAGCAGCAAGCAAAACCGCCAACTCCATGACTGTGCCAAGTCAGCGTGGGTAATGAAGCAATGGGGATAGCAACTCACCGTATAGAATTGGACCCTGAAAGTAAGAAAGGATCTTGGCAATAGGATTCTCCTTCTCGGATGTCAACTCATTCCACCCAGCCCGACGACGACGGAGTGGAACTTCATGACTGGAAAGTCCCTCTCGGACATCCGTCATGGTCCACTCATCAGGAAACTTGCCGCTTTCACCTTCGACCCTTTTGACACGGACTTTCTGCTTCTTCCACGGGGCGTACCAGACTCGTTCCTCAACTAGTTCGCCTTCCTCTTCCTCCGCTGCATTGGCATCACGGAAAGTCGACACGTACTTGACGAGCTTGCCATACTCGTCCAGACTGTTCCAGTCCCCGCTAAGTGATGCCCGGGAGATACGTGAGCTGCGGCGGCGGGTGTCGGCACGCTCGGCTTTGCCCTCACCAGCCATGCTTGACTTTACAAGTCAGTTAACAGTCCCCTCGAGAGAGGAAAATGGAAAAAACCTAGATAGAAACGTACCTGTGAAAGAAGACAAGATTATGGATTATAATTAGGAACGAATGCACGAAGCAAAAGGATATAGAAATGAAGAAACAATGATACTAAAGAAAATGAGTTTTTTCCAATGTTCTATTCGCACCTCAGCACCTGCAGGATGACGGGAATCGGAGACAATTACAATATTCTCTGGAGCAGAAAAGAAAAGAGCTGCTAGCGTAACGAAATTTTCCTTTCTGAAGTAAATCATGCTGACGTCGAGCCAGGAAGCCCCCGGGAGGGACATCTTCTGTCCACAGATGTATGTTTCTCATTGTTTTGGTCTTCCTCTTCGGTACTTCAAGGATGATGAAACCAAGTCTCGAAAGGGACGAGCCGCGGACAACCCGAAGAACTCCCGCTGGGTTTTGATGCATGCAAAATTGGTTCGACCAATCCAGGGGAACCATAGAGGATTTTACTTGGCCCAAGGTCGAAAGACACCAGTGATAGGGTCAGGCACCCGAATTGACTTCGAATAAGGCATTCACCCATGGATCATGGTAGGTCTGCCCTCGGCAAGAGCCAGAACAACAGAAAGGGGCTTAGGTCGTGTGTGAGTGCAGGATATTGTGCTGTACTGAAAATATTAGTTATAGATATAAAATGTATCATGTGGAGATCACCATCAACTAGTGCACCCGGCTATCCCGGGACAATCATTCGGCGTTGAATATCGTGGCCGCCCGAAAGGCATGGAAGGAACCGAGTAAGTCATTCAAACATCGGTGAATGGATGAGCTAGGCCCATTTCTGTTGTAGAAGGCGAGCGGCTGTCCGGATGTCAATTGAAGGCATGCAGGTGGTCTTCGACGTCATGCTCGCCCATTCCGCTGACAGCCGGCCGGCGGAAGCTACATCCATTCCACCCCAGTTTCATGACTCGTCTGGAGAATCAAATGGTCGGCAATTGAACCAGGTATTCCAAGAGATGGAAAGTACGAGAAGCACGGTAATGAACAACTTACCCAGAGAGATCGTTGCAATCGACTTCGGCCACACGTGACCTTATTCAGCCCTACACGAACCATTACAACGCGCCCTCGACAACCCCAAACAGGACTGCCACAGCGACCATTGTATCGTCCACTTTCCCCACCTGTAGTAAAATCCCACTCGGACGCCCAACCAAAAGATGCCTCCTGCCAGCCTCATTCTTGATGGTAGATATTGGCACGAGTAGATAAGGGGTGCAGTGTATGACAAAGGTGTAAGCATCGTTCTCGGGATGAGACGGTTGGTGTAGTGGGTTGAGTGCTTGAGGGTTCAGACAGAGAGAGAGACCATCATAACCCGCAGGAGCAAACAACCAAGTTGGGATGAAGGAAAGAGGTTGGAAGGTGAAGATTGGAGGAAGGAGAGAATTATTACAAAAGAATAACATTTTACCGAACGCAAAGTAGAAGCATATAAATATATTGCATTCTTTTCATAGATCACTCATAAAACATGATTCATATCATAACATAGGATCTATTTGGACTTGCCGGAAGGGATGTTGAAGAAGACCGCAGGCTTACCAGGAGCGTAAGCGCGGTCAACACGGTAGTAACCCTTACGGTCGAACTGAATGATATCGCTCTCCTTGAGATCAGCGACGTTGCAATCAGCTAGACCCTCCTCGCGGAACTCAGTGTTCAGGTTCAGGTAGTCCTCCAGAACATCATCCTCGCCGAGGGAGTCCTTGGTCAGCAGGTGGTCGAAGTCGACCAGCTCGACAGGGATAAGGTCCTGTCCCTCAGTGGCAAGCCAAGTAACCTTCTTCTCGGTCTTCTTGACATCACCGGCCATGTGCAGCTCAAGCTCAAGATCGGTGATGATACCGGTCTCAGCATTGGTGGTGACCTTGCGGACGATAGCGTTACCCCAGTTCATAAGGGTGATCTCCTCGTCAGGCTTGAACAGCTTGACATCCTCCTGCTCGAGGATGATCGAGCTGCTGTAGACAACCTTCTTCATGCCGACGGCGGCGTTCTTGATGTGTCGAGGCTTCTCGTCAGAGTAAGGGGTAGCAGGGCCACCGGTGACAGTGGTCTTGACATTCTTGTTAAAGATGGTAGTGTGACGCGGGGCAATAGGATCAATGTACTTCTTATTGGTGGCCCAGATAAGACCCCAGTCGAAGTTGGTCACAGCCTTAGAGGGACCCTGCTTAAGGATGAACTCCCGGAGAGCAGGAATGGTCATACCGCGGCGACGAATACCACGGATAGTAGGGAAGCGAGGGTCATCCCAACCCCAAACGAGACCAGTCTCGACCAGCTTAGTGAGCTTACGCTTAGACAGAAGAGTACGAACGAAGTTCATACGGGCGAAGTCCCACACCTGCACGTTACGCATCTTCATGGTGTCTAGCATCCACTGGTACTGAGGGTTGCGGTCGCGGTACTCGATGGTACGTAGAGCGTGGGTGACACCCTCCATCGAGTCAACAATAGGGCAGGCAAAGTCGTAGGTCGGGTAGATCTTCCACTTGCTACCGGTACGGTGGTGGACAGCTGGGTTGCAGCGGTAGATAACGGGGTCACGCATAGCCTTGTTAGGGCAGTCGAAAGAGATCTTAGCACGGATGCACCAACGAAGACCCTCGGAGGTGCCGTTCTTCATCTCCTCCAAGCGGGCCAGGCTCTCTTCGGGCGAAAGATCGCGGCGCTGGCTAGGGAAGCCGTCCCATCTCTGAGCGGCCATGGTTTCCTTATCAGTATCATCTGCGTAGGCGTCACCCTGCTTGATCATCTTGATGCAGTGATCGTACAACTCGTCGAAGTAGTCACTAGTGTAGGTCATCTTGTTAGGCTTGATGCCCATAAGCGCAAGGTCCTCCACGATAGCATCCTCGAACTCTTGCTTCTCGTTGGAAGGGTTGGTGTCGTCAAATCGGAGTAGCATAGTACCGTTGTACTTCTCATGCGCAAAGTAATCGTTGAGAAGAGCGGCCTTGGCGTGACCGATGTGGAGGTATCCACTATAACGAACCATATTAGTCCTAAGAACAGAGAAAACCATGCGGTAACAACTTACGAAGGCTCGGGGGGAAGCGGGTAACAACGCCGTTCTCGGTGTTCTTGAGTGCAATGTCGTAACTGGCACCCTCCTTGGACTTCGCCACCTTCTTCTCCTTGGCAACTGCGTTCACAGATTCCACAGCAGCGGAAGCCCAGGGGCAAAGCTCCTCCAAGAACCGATACCAGCGGGTAAGGTTGACGAGGGATCCCTTCTTCAGGGCCGCAGCGGCGACACGGTTACCACGGAGAGCACCCCAAAGCGCAATGTCGGGAGTAGACAGAGAGTATCCGACGACGAACGAGCGCATAAGGAGGTGGGCGTCAAGGCGCTGGAGAACGGGATCGAGGGCCTTGAAGTCAAGGGTGGTCAGGGAATCCAACTGGGAGATCCACTCGGCCTCCTATTGCGTGGTGTTAGGGACATTTCACTTTAAAGAATGATTCGACCGCGGGGTAGTAGTGTTAACTCACCACCTTGGAATCCTTGCCAACAAGGAAAGGGAAGTGGGTAGTCAGCTCCTGGATGACATTGGCAGTACCAAAGACAGAGTTGGAGCCACTGGTGAGCTGGACAATGGCCTTGTCGCCATCCTGGAGAAGAGCAGTGTCCTCGTAGGTGATGTTCACGACGGGGGTGGGGCGGGCCTCATTGATGGAGGTGACGATGAGAACCACCGGCAGAAGTGCCGCGTGGTTACCGCGAGTGGCCACTTTCAACTCGTACTGAGACATTGCGCAGAAGTGTAGTGTGGTACAATAAGAATTTCTGGAGGGGCAGAGTTATTATCTACAGTACCCATCCGGAGCCACGTTTCTCCGAGCCCGACAGCTTTCCGGCAGAAAACAATTGCTTCATCCAGTCGATCAGCTCGAATCAACGCCAGTCAAAATGTCGTCCTCCGGCTCGGTACTGCCCACTGCGGCACGCGGAATCATCTCATTATGCCGGAATCCGCTGCGCAATACCTCAATCGCTCCCTCTCTTTCGACTTTCCAGCAGGTCCGAGGTCTCAAGAACAAGCCAAAGAAGGGGAAAGAGCAGCCTACCAAGAGCCGAAAAGGACCCCAGGAGTTCCGCCAAATCAATTTGAAGGACATGCCGCAGTATTCCCTGTGTGACGCTATGCGGTATGTACTGAGAATCTGACATGGAGACGTCAGTCAGTGGCCGGGTCATCAATTGACACCTTTCTGCAGATATATCCGGGCCATCGAAGTCGGTCGCGAACCCTCCATCCAAAAATACGAACTACACATCCGACTGCGGACAAAGCGCGACGGTCCCGTCATCCGTAACATGCTCCGATTCCCCCACGCCGTCCAGACCGAATCCCGCATCTGTGTCATCTGTGCTCCCGGTTCGAAAGCAGCCAAGGAAGCGCTTGCCGCTGGTGCTGTTCTTGTCGGTGAACAAGAAGTGTTCGATGCTGTCAAGGCAGGCACTATTGAGTTCGATCGCTGTCTCGCCCACCCGGACAGTTTGCCGGCCCTGAACAAGGCCGCCCTGGGTCGTATCCTTGGTCCTCGCGGCTTGATGCCCAGTGCGAAAACTGGTACCGTTGTGGAAGACGTGGCTGCGCGAGTAGAAATGCTCCGTGGTGGTACTGTGTACCGTGAGCGTGATGCCGTTATCCGTCTGCCTGTCGGACAATTGGGCTTCTCTCCGGAGCAATTGCGCGATAACATGCGCGTGACCCTTGACCAGATTAAGAAGGACGCTTCCGCGTTGACCGACCGCGTTAACAAGGAAGTCTACGAGGTGGTGAGTACTTTACTTGATTTTTTCTTTTTGTGGAAATCAGTCTCTAACAACATCAGGTACTGAGCTCGACCAACGGACCCGGATTCTCACTCAACGGCGAGTTCCGCACCGACACCTCCCCTCCAACCTCCGCCCTGAAGGGCATGTAACATACTCAATTTTCTCTATATCCTTTGGCGTGTACAAATTTATTGTTTTATTAGGAAAGGACATGGTGTATCATGGTATCATTGTTGAATTAGAACTTTATAAGACCAAACGCCGACGCTATGTATGCAGACCAGTGCACATTGCCAATCTTCAGGACGATGCACATTGTTTTTTACAGCTTGAGGTTCTTCAGCGCGGCGACGGCACTGACATCCTCACCCATAAGCTCGTAGAGGCGCAGAACTGCCATTGTCCTAGTGTCGCGTTTGCCCTGTTTCTCACCCGCCGCGGTGGCTTGCTCCAAAGCAGTCTTGAGATCCAGAAGCACTGTCGACTTAATCTTTGCGACTCGAGGTTTCTGCGCAAGCAGGAAGGGATGCTTCTCGCCGACCCGAGCAGCTATCGAGGTCAAATAGACAAACTTCTGAGCATGGCGTTCCATCCTCTTCAATGAAATCGCAGGTGTGCCATCAGCCAGCTCATCGTCATCGCTATCTTCGCTCTCCCCGCCGTACAAGTCAGACTCTGTATCTGATTCATCGGATGTGGCATGTCCCTGCGATGACTTGTCCTCGATCATCAACCGGTGTTCCAATTCCTCCACCCGATCCGCATAGTCCAACAGATCCTTGCCAACGTCGGCATTCGTCCGTAACCGCCGCTTCTCATTCAATAGCTCTTCCACTTCCTGACGTCGCGCCTCGACCTTGTCACGGATGGCTTTGACATCGCGCTGGAAAGAAAGCACACCGACTTTCACACCTTCGACTTTCTCCTCTCCCCCGCGAAGCGCACTGCCTAACGAGAGGAAGTCCTGGTAGTTCTCATTCACAAGATCCAACAGCTCCTTGTTCAGCAATTGCTCCAGTCCCCGTAATTCCTGTCGGAGATCCTCAAGGCTCTGATGTCGGTTTGTTAACGACGATAGGAAAGTGGCTGGATCGAAGTCAGGGGCGAGGAATGAGGTGCGGGATAGCGGTTCCGGGAAGGGGAGGTCGGATGGGTCTTCATCGAAGTCGGAGACAGACCCGTCGGAGTCACCGAACTAGGGGGGATTAGACGGGGTACTAATTCGGGTCACATAGATTCATACCTGGAACCGATTCATGGTGTATCCAGAAAGAGCGTGGGCAATGGATAAGGGAACTAGGGAAACGTGGTGATGGTGCCTTGTGCCTCGTATGCCTCGGTATAGCTGCCGTCTGGAATGTTTAAAATGTCAAAATTTGAGAATTCCAGCGTTCAGTTGGCTTTGTGGCCCAGTGGTTAAGGCATCCCGCTCGTACGAATTTGTGCAGACGGGGGGGTCCCGCGTTCGACTCGCGGCAGAGCCATCTTTTTTTTTTTGTTTATGTTCATTTTTGGCTTTAGTATCAATTTGGGTAAAACAAAAAGTTAATTTGTGAGGTTAATAGTGTACGAGTAGTGTATACCTGAATGTACCTGGAGGTGCCTGAACCACTTTGACAACCTAACTGTATTCGGATTGTCGTAAACATGGCGAAGTGAGTCGAGGATTGTATTATAATCGTGGATACCGGAGTCGCGTGCGGAGAAGAGCTGAGGAAGAACCATTGCCTGAACTTGACTTGAGAGGTTGAGGTAGACGTAGTAGAACTGAGCTGTAGAAGCTCTCTATCGACGGACCCGCCATAGGAGATTCTATAGCTCCTCGCGGTCAGGTCATATCCAATGAGAGAGTTGTGCCCAGGCGGCATGTTTAGTCGCCCGTAGCTTCGTAGAGAACGCGCTCGAACTTAGCGATGTAGGCAGCGAGTGATTCGTCGGGAGACTGCTTAATCGAAAGGAGACGGTCCTCTGCTTCTTGAATCTTATCCAAGACCCTTGGAAGCTTCCCCAATTCCCCAATCCCCCCTCCCCCCCACTACCCGCCCGGATGATTTACATCTAAAACAAACGACTAAACACATGCCGGACAATATGCGTTGCGTATGCGACCTGGATATATCCCTCGTGAGCCAAACCTAATCCTCTCGGAGTCCTGTACCCTCTAAGAGCGGGGTCATTGTCTGCGCTGTCACCTGCATAACACGTAGCTGTGCCCTACCGAAACCGGTACAGAATCATGGAGTCAGATACACTGCCTAGTACACAGCCGTCATCTCCTCTACCTCGACAAGGATGGACCCAACTACCATCCCCAGCCCGCGCGTCTCCAGTCGTGTCCACTGCCGGCCCCTCACACCATCCTAACCAATGCCGCGAGTCCGTCGCCGATGACCCCGCCGCAGCATATCGTACCACCGCTATGCGCCAGCTCAACGGCTCCCCGAGATCTGCGCCCCGTCCCGTCCGTGACAATCCCTCTGGAAGACGCTCGTCGACACTCGCCACGCGCCCCGTGCTTGTCAGGGCGTATTCAGGAGATGCGCAGGATAGAGCTACACGACCGTCTGCTATGTCTGCGCGTCGGTTCTTCTCGTTTTCCGGCTCGGGGAGTCCACCTCCGGCTCCGTCTCGTCCGTCACAGTCTGATGTCATGTTCCCGACGGATAAGGACTTCAGTATCGAGAGTATACTGCAGGCTATCGAGCCTGATATCCGTGGAACGCTAGACTCCATTGCTGAGATATGTGGGCGGAGCAAGCTGAGCCTTTCCAATGAGTATGGGAGTCACATCGCGCCTTTGGGTGAGATCTGTGCTCCGTCAGGTGCGCTAGGACCGGTCGAGGAGGCCAGGCCTAATGAGGAACAGGGTGTCGATGATAGCAATGCGGTCGTTGTTGAGGATGATGCTAGTCCGGTTGATCCCGCTCGTGATATGCATCCGTTCTCGTTTCATCGATATCTGGAAAATCTGAGACATACTGCGTCTATGCTGGAACAGAATGGTGCACCTGCCCAGTCAACCCAGAGACAACCCCATTCTCTATTGTCTCCTGTCATGGCCTCCGAGGCGGAACCTGGTTTGGCTATTAGCCCGGAGATCGTAGCTTCGACGCCTTTGACGCGCGAATTCGCATCGAGACCCAGGCATAGCGGTCGTGATCTGCTTGCAAAGAATTCTGCTGCTGGCAGTGGCCAACACCACTCCTCAAAAATGGCCACTCCCGCTGTAGTGTCGGAGGTTCATCTGGAGGTGATTGCAAATGATGGATCCTCCGCCGAATCCAATATCCTCCCGCAACCTGCTCTGGCAGGTGATGGTTTACCTGATGCGGGAAGCTCAGGTCCGGAAATTATACAATCCCTCCTTGGCTGGCTAAAGTGGACTGCCACTATCGCTGGGCCGGAATCTAGTCCTGCTTTGGAGTCTGCGGAGGGTCGGCTACGAGCTATGCTTGATCGTTCAGGGAATGAGGCTGTGCCCTCAACTGCGCGTTGATGATGACTTGGGCCTGTAATATGTAACATGGTGCCTTGATATGAGACATGATAATGACTTTGATGTTAACGACCTCACACATATCCTTTACGCTATCAACGCATTACCTTTCTATCAATATGATGTTTCTTTCCGACTTGACTTTTGGAAATGTCGTTTTGTAGACTTCTGTCGTTATACTCGGCGTTTAATAAACCTAGGACAACTAGACTTTTACTACATCATTTACAACACAACTGATATACCAATGTGGCAATTGTTCCAATTTGACTCAAGCAACAGAGGCTAAAGAGTGAAGCCTGTGAACAAACATCATCTCAAAGTAGAGACATGCAGCAGCTAAAGACCAAGTCCAACCTAAGCGGAAGCCTGGACCTCAAGACGCTTATAACCACCATCAGCAGCAACCTCCTGCTGCAGCGCGGCCATACGCTTCTGATCACCAATAGGATCAGTAGAATCCGCATCAAGACCCCAAGAAAGGAACTGATTGGTATAGTTGGCGACGAAATCCTCATCCAAAATCCCCAGTCTCTTTCCATAATTGGTAACCTTAGTCCAATCGCGCTGAACATTCTTCAAATCGCGCGAGAAGTACGCAAACGACCGCTCAAAGATCTTGCGGTTAACATCCGTGCCCATGATCGGCTTGACGTCAATGTACTCCGCATACGCAGCGGCAGGGTCAGCGAGGACATCGTCTGTAGCGCGCTTGACGGCGCGCATGAAGGCAGAGACTTTCTCCGGGTTCGCGGCGATGAAGGCATCGTTCGCGATGTACAGGATCGAGCAGAAGCAGCAGCAGCCTAGTTCGGCGAGCTGGTCGATGCGGAGCATTTGAACGTCTGTGCGTGGTCGGTTTTGGGCTGCTAGCCATTCTTCTAGCTCGACCATTTGCACGTTCTCGAGACCGATGCCCGCGTCGATGCTGCCGTTGATGATCGCTTTGGTTATGTTCATTCCACATCGCACGGCTGTGTAGTCGTCTGCGGTCATGCCGTAGTACTTGGTGAGTTCGTCGATTTGGATCTAGGTGTTGTTAGGGTTTGTTGCGTGGATTGGGTTGAAGGTTAGGGAGATGTGCTTACCTTGCCGAACTCGCCGACGTACCCGATACGCTTGCCTTTCAGCGAGCGGAAGTCCTCGGTGATTCCGCTGGACTTCAGGTACACGACTCCGGTGAAGGGCTCGTCGAGGAGGGAGCCGATGGAGGTCACGGGGAAGTCGCGGGCCTTGGCCTGAAGTCGGTGTTAGTATAATGTGTTTGTTATTTCTGGTAAGGAATACGCACCGCCAGGGTGTGGATCATGGCCTTGAAGCCCATGTCGACCTTGCCGCTTCCGACGATCTCGGTGACGTCGGAGGGGTCATTGGGCTCGAGAAGAGCGACCTTGAGACCTTCATCCTTGAAGTAGCCTCTGGCCTGAGCGAGGTAGAGGGGGCGTGGTACGGGGTTGCGTGCCTTGAAAGAAATAACTTAGCCAAGTCGAACTACAAGACGGAGCATCGAGCACAAGAGGGCTTAGAAGCTCTGGTTCTGGGACAATGTCAGCATACCAGTTGGTCAAAAAAGTAATCTTGTCGGTAGACATGATGGCAGAAAGATCAAACTATTTGAATACTTCAATTGGGTCAGTATGCCAAGAGAGAAAGTATCCAGCTCTACTCCGTCCATGCTGTCTTCCATTCAATCTATGTATTCAATTGAACAGTCAACAGCACAGTACAGCATGAGTAGAGCCAGACACAAAACACAAAACAGGGGAACAATCAAAAGTCACGCATGTCCTTTCGCTAGTATTGTCTAGATCAAGTTTTGACAGTATAATCTCAGAACGGCCAATCAGTTGATATGAGAAGAACCCCATACCGATTCCAGGAGATATTCTGGAGATCTGGAATAGGGTTATATAGTTCTCCTCAATCAACTGACTAGACCGAACACCTGTCATGCGGTGGCAACGACTGTTATACGAACAAATACCTTGATCCATCTCTTCATCATAGCGAGGACTGTGTCCTGCAACCCCGCAGGGTCCTGGACGTGCGCGGCTCCATTGGAGAGTCGTACCGATGGTAGACGTAATTTGAAAGGTCCAAAGTTGGATAGTTGTAAGAGTGATGGTTGGGAAGAGGAAGATGGAGGGGTTAGGAGGGGTAGAAATAGCCAAGTACAACATAACACACACACGGAAATACAACTGTACGATGAATCATAGTTCGCTAAATGCTCACCGGGGTCGAGAATAACCGGCTATGATTGCTCAACTTCGTAACTCTATATCCTGAAAGCTCCGATGCAGCTCCGGTGTTACCTGGGCAGTGATGTTCAAGTGGATATTGTTCGGAGCTCATCCCTCCGCGGGGAGTTACAAGTTACAACATTGATAACATTACACTGAATATCCTTGCAAAACATATATAACTTTCGATTTCATTTAATTAAAAAAAAAAAAAAAAAACACAAACACAAACACAAACATGGGCTTCAAATGCACGGCTCGGAAAAAAAAAACATCAAATAAAAAGAAGTGATTAAACAAGTACACATGACGTCAAGGAAATGCCCACTTCAACTAGAAGGCCAAGGGTGAAAAGAACTAAAAGAAGGGTCCAATACCCTTAATACCCTTAATACCCTCGGTTATTCTTTCCCGGCTTCTGTTTCGGGCTCTTCTCGGCCATTGATCGATACGCTGTCCAGTGGGGATGCAGCACGTTCCCCCATCTTGCGAGTTCGCAGTGTGAGAGGGAAGTGCTCTTCGGGCTCTTCCTCTTCACTATTGAATGTATTAGTATTTGACAAACACTAAGAAATGATATAGAACTCACGGTAATTTCCAGGCAATATAATCCTCGGTGCTCAACCCCTCGTGACCTTCTTGCAAAGAGGCAAAGTCACCCGGGGTCATCATTCCAGAGCGATCCCGAGGGGATCCAGGAACCGAAAGCGGGCGGGAGAGCTTCTGTTCCGTTCCTCCAATGATATCGAAGTAATCCTCTTGGCCCTCGAAGGAGGATGGGTAAGCTGTATAAAGTATTAGATCAGAAACCACTTAGAAAACAAAATGGAATTGTAACATACCTCTTCTCAAGGCCAGCTGGCGAGCCTTGACATATTCCAAGCCCATTCTTTTCCAGTCGAGTAGATCGCTCAGACGCTCCGTACGGTTACGCTGGTTAATGCGCTGGCGACGACTCTTCTCCGTGAAATTGAACATAAACTCGGTCAGTTGGTTGACCGAGTCGTCGACGCCCTTGGCCCGTCGGTCCACGATGTAAATTCCATAATCGGAGGAGTTTTCAATCAATTCCTCCATATAGCAACCGAATCCAGACAGGTTGGTGGTAATGCTAGGAACACCCATCACTGTACACTCGGCCGGAGTATATCCCCATGGCTCATAGTAGGAGGGGAAGACACCCAGATGAGTTCCGCGAACGAAGTCATCGTAGTCAAGCGGCAATACAGGGTTGGCGGAGCTGAGGAATTCAGGATGGAAGATGACCTTCACCCGGTCGGAGGAGTGATTGAACAGCTGGACACGACGCAACTGGTTCAGGATAGGGTCCTCGTGGTCATTGTGCATGTTGTGGGTGACAATTGGGGGAAGACCGTGACGCTTCATGCCGAACAGGCGACGGCGAAGCATCACGCGATCTTGACTGGTGATGAGATCCTTCTCGTCGGGCATGTTGTCGCCTTCCTTCCATGAAAGACAGCGCTCATACATGCGCTTACCGATCCCTTTCTCGATGTTCTCGATGGTATCGCGCAGAGACTTGACAACGGCCTGTCCCTTGAGCGATTCCACGGTCAACGAAGAGGTCTGTGCTGGCATAATAATGAAAGCAACCACGGTCATGGTCGACCCAGCGGCCTTCAGTCGATGGTTGAGGCGGGCCAGCCCCTCAATGAACATATCGACACCCTTATTGCGGTATTCATAACGACCCGCAGTGAAGAGATATAGAGTATTATCCAGATCAAAGTCATTGTGGCCGTAGAAATGGCCACGAACGAAATCGTTGATCTTCTCCTTGGCCTGGGAGTGCAAGTTCTGGAACTCGTGCATGGCAGAGAACTTCTTGACATTCAGACCATTAGGCAGCACGCCATCGGGTTTGCGTTTCAGCAGGTGCTCACTCTCGAATGCAGTGATGTGTGATACAGTGGTAAACACATCACAGGCATGGGTGGCAGCCCGCTCAATACAGTAGCGGTGGTAGATTCCTCGCTTCCCGGCCTCGGCATCCACATCAAAGTACTGAAGGTTATTATAGAAGTCAACCGATCCAGCACAGAGATAACGACCCAATAATGTCGCGTGGGTGGTGAAGACAGTTGTAAGGTCCATGTGTCGCTTCTTGGTCAGTGGCAGAGCAACACCAGACAACCATTCATGGAAATGGGCGATGACCGCCCGGCGACGGTCGTGAGCAATGTACTAATAGCAGGAATATGGTTAGTGACACGCTTTTGCCATCTCTAACGCGCAGAACAATTAATTGTCGGAACGTACCTCTCCCAAGAACCATGCGACCAAATATCCAAAAACGATGGCCTCATTGGTCTCGTTATCACCAGCGGGGGAGGGGATGGCCGAAGTAGTCCAAAGGTCGCCCTTCCACTCGTCCAACCACCGATATCCAGTCCCCGTGTCAATCAGTAGAACCCGAGGGGCACCCTCAATAAGCCAGCGACCGTAGACAATGTCAATGCCGCGCTCCTTCATTGACTGGATCGTCTCCCGCATGGCCGGGTTGGACGGGGATAGCTCCTCAACCTCCACTGCAGCTGAAGCTCTGTTCAATGGGCCGATCAGAGTATACCGCTCACCATATTCAGCGGTGGTCACGGGAGCTTTGGACTTGAGGACCGAGTAGATGCCGCCTACTCGGTTTGCCACTTCTGTGGCCACCTCGAAGAGCATGTGGTTGCACACATCACGCTTGATGGGTTCGCCGGTTTCCTCCATTCTCAAATGTATGTATTTCGTAGAAAATCAAAGAGAAATTGAAAGACGAGGGGGGGGGCAATGACCTTAGAAGAGCTGTCCGACTCGGTCTGTGCGGGGGGGAGAAGTGGACCTTGCGACTTGAGCTTCTGGGGGAGAGGGGCTGGAGATGTTGGGAGGGGATGTGGATCAGATTGAAGATGAAGTTTGAGGTTCTAAGAGGTCCAAGAGATATGTTGTAGATATAATGTCAGAAAAAAAAAAAGAAAGAATTCCCGTTTTCTATCTCCGGTCAGTCTTTTTCTCCGGACTGGTCGATCTAAGAGTCGACGGGTGTGACCCTCCAAGGGTTTTTCTCCCCGTTGCGCTTAGACTCTGCGAGGGAAATGAGGGAAATTCCACCCGAGACTGTTGAGAGAAAAAGTACAAAGTACGTTGGAATTAATTTGGAGAGAATTTTATTTTAATTTGACTACTCTGTACTCCTCTTTAAGACTCTGTGGGATATGTAGTATGTATAACTATGTAGTATAGTATGTAGTATGTAGTATAGTAGTATACCAGTTAAGGTGGGATCGCCCCTATGTCCTGTTTTCTCTTCCTCCCTCTCTCTTTTTCCCCCATATTCTCTTCTTTTTACCTAATTTCTCTAATTTCTCTAATTTATCCTATTATACTACACTTGATCTATAGTTATTTCCCTTCAATACCAATCTCCAAAGTCCAAGACCAAATGCAATTGCTGTTGATCGGATCTGGGGAAAGCTGGAGCCAGATGATGTCATCTGACCATCTGCTCCACTGAACGGGACCCGCCAGAGCTTGCTGATCCAAAAGACGACGAATAACAGTCAATGACAGCTAAGAACAGTCAATGGCCACGAATATCACCATCAATGGCTTGAGATGGCTTCATCCAACTCAATTTATTGGCAGCAAGTACGCGCGGACCATGTAAGAGAGGATGATCATCTTGGCAACCATCCAATTTCCTTGTTGGTGTTGAAATATCCCTATACCGTACAACACTGCAGATGCAAACTACTTTTTTTTGTACAACATTGTGTTCCTTGTTCCTACCTGGGTAGCTCTTTTTCTGGTCACAGGGGAATAGCTCCGAAATTTTGCAATGTCGGACCCAAGTCAAGAATGCATCCACCTGGGGAGTACGACTATACACCTATATCCAAGATCCCACCAATAAATTCCACGAAGGATTCCAGGATACGGAAACCAATCTTCTTTCCTTTTACCCTATCTTGCTAGCTGTTTCTAGCTACCTGCATGGGTAGATAGTACCACAGCTGACTCATGAAACTAGAGACACACCTAGGCAGTTGAGGAACAAAGAGCCATCGTTGTTGATATATCCACAACAAAGAACCTCAAAAGTCTCAAATCCATGTTTGTTCCCATCCTCATTGTAACTGAGATGGAGTCCAGTCCAAATACCTGTAGACAATGTTGTGTCACTTATTTGAAATGCATCAAATGAAAGGCTCATTGATGTCGATCTCGGAGGTACCAGTATATCAACCCAGCAAGATATAAAAACCCGAGCAAGCATGGAATCCGAAGAAAGAGATCCCCTGCACTCTCCCGTCCTTCAGCATCTCTCTCTTCTACTCAACCCGAGCTCGGAGCTTCGATCGCCCATCGCATTAAGCATGTCTGAAAGGAAGAAGGCACGCAAGCGGTCCAAGATCAAGCGTTGGTTGAGAAGTTGGGTTTTCACTCCGTTGGGCAACGTGAGAATCAAGTTGATCAACAAGGTCGAGAGAAGGCGTCGAAGTATCCCGGACTGCGATCCCAATCAGATCGCTGCTGAGGCCCTCTCTGATCGATGTCCGTGTCGCTTCTTTTGGGATCGCAATGATCGAGGATCGGCCCCTGTGAGGAGGTCCTTGCTTGAAAATGAGTTTGAATCTCTGGTAGATCTGATTGTTCCTATGTCTGCTTGGTTGGAGAGTGCGCGACAACAGTCTTCTAGGCTGGATTCTGCTAGATTTGATTCGTGTGTGGCCAACGGCGCTGTGGTTGACGGAGGAGAACCTGCTATGGCTACTACTACCAAGCCTAAATCTCCTCGTGATTCCCGTGGAGACTGGCGAGAGGATGAACATGCTGTGTTGAGAGTTATGAATCCAGATGTGTCTTGGTTGAATAGTGGGGATGATAAGTCTGAAAAGTCAGGTCCCAGTTCTGTAATTGAGGTTGACAGGAGTGTGTACGAACTTTCCTCACTTGGGGGAAAGATCTCAGACTTACCTTCTGACTTAAGTGAAGAAAGTCAATCTGGGAAGTCACGTTCTTCCTTGATATTCGAGCCTGGCATCCAGATGGCCAATCCCATGGCGATTAAAGAGCTGGCTCCTCAACTCCCCGATTTGTATTTCATCCATCAACCCGATCGACCGTTATGCTGTCTCATCACTTCAGCCTTGCGGGATTCCAACTCACCGGTTCTTTTCGATGATGGTATTTGTTTCGGTGATCACTTCTCATGCGATACTCAACCTGTGATTTCACATCTGCCCCCATCGGATATATCACGATCATCCGTCAGGGCTAAATCCCCAACGAACACCATGGAATTCCTCCTCCGTCAAACGCAGAGAAGGCGAAGTACCATCTTGAACAATGTGTACATCTCCCCATTTGTTCCGTTACAGCCGAGACCACTCCACATTCGAAAATCCTCTAATGCCACCTCTACCAATACACAGAATGATGCCCTGTCACCCATTCCCGCAGAGCCATCCCAAGATGTGGCAGCACCAGTGCACAACTCACCATACAGTCTCCACTGTAAGATCCAGTACGGCCAATTACCTCCCCTACCTCCTTCGAGATCCAATTCCTCATCCACTCACTTTGCTTCATTTGGCCCAGCAAGACCAAGCTCTCGGCCCCCAGGCATCTCATCCCCCACTCATGCTGCCTCTGCATCACCATCACCATCACCGGTCGATCCCCCACAGTACCCTAATCGACCAAACTCAATGTGCGATGACTGCCTAGCAAGGCGACACCGGTCCCTCCACAGTCATCCATCCCATCGCCGTGGTGACAACAGCCCGCAATTTGGAAATCCTCCACTCCCGTACCCACTCAGCCCCCAAGAACCAACTCATTTCCCACCACGCGTTGATAGCTTACCAGCTTCGCTCAGGGCCGGCCGACAGTGCCAGCACTGTCCCACTCGTCAACCTGAAATTGTCTCTCCGCCAGTGTTTGTTAGTCCTCGGTCTCGTGCTCAGGTGTTGAATCGTATTTCCGCCTCTTTCTCGGACTTTACACCTGACTCTCCTTGGGCTGGTCCTGTGGGCCCCACGGGGTTCTATGATGTCTCTGAAGATGACTTGGCTTTGTATGGGGAATCTGATCGTATCGATGAGAGTATTGATGAGAGTATTGATTCCTCTGGTTTGGAAATGTGTCTGATTGCAGGATCGAGGGCTCAACGCCGGAGATACCGTTGAGGAGGAAGTGAGTGCTGACATTCAGTCAGATTCGAGCAGGAATATCCGGTATCTTTTGTCATGTTTTCCTACATTGATCTCCATTTATTTGCTATGAGTATGTGTCAATCTTTTGTCGGACTCATGTTGGAGTTGTTGAAATTTCCTGATTTCCTGATTTCCTGGCTGAAGAAGTATCTTTCGTTCAAAAAGAATTACCCTTTTCATTTCAAGTGCACACCTTTACTTATCATTCTTGGACGTTCCTACCGGACAATGGCAAAGGGGCGTATGATCCTAGCGTGGTGACATTACCAGGATATGCTAGATCCCCACTCGGTGGGGTTTTTTAATACCATGTTAGCTTGATAGATTGAGACATGAGAAGAATATCATAAACATTAATGAGTTTCGCCATGTAAAAAGTGCATGCAATAAATATAGACGGTAAAAAATGGGAGAGTATAGAACTAAAGTTGGATATATATTCCAAAGAAATCAACTTGCAACCTGAAATAATTTCATTTCCCCAACCATACATAACCTTGGAATTGTCGAATAAAATCATTCAGTAATTGATATCACAACTCTGCCATTCCATGAAATTTCTCGATCCATTTCCAAGGTAATCGAGAGTATCGAGAGCGAAGATCAGCCAAGACCTTTTGATACTCCAACGCGCATGAAGTCATACACTCCCCACTATGATTTCAAGATGTTGTCACAACTCACATCCCAAGTATATAAATATAGACGTGTTGCTATATATATTCATACATTCATACATTCATACATTCAACAGAAAAAACTACATTCTTCACAAAACCACATTCAACTCTCTCTCCAAATCAACCAAAATGGTCCGCGGCGCAGAATACGACAACGGTCTCCCGCAGAGCGACAACCCCATCGAGAACGGTCCTAACAAGGCACACGGACTCGGCAATGAGGTATGTTCCATTACATTAGATTCAATCTAATGGACAATTTCTAATGCATTTCACAGCCCGCAGACTTGAGCCGCTCACACAAGGCTGCACCCCTACCAGAGCAGACTGGATCTGGTCGTGAGGTTCACCCTGGTTTGCCTACTGCGGGATCGGTTCATCCCCATGGTGGTGCTGCGAAGCCTATTTCTCTTGATGAGAAGAACACGGCTGGTAAATAAGTGCTGGTAAATAAGTGTTGGTATGTGTGTGATATGTCTGGATGGCGATGATCTTGTATCATATGGTCTTTGGCATTTTTGATGATTTGCATATTTTATGAATGATATACGATATCCTCAAGTCAGAAAACTTAGAAGGTTGGTTCTCATACGTAAAGGAAAATCACATCTGCTCTTATTCATATCCACAAACGCCGGGCTAGCTCTATAAATGCAACCGGGAGACATATATGGTAGCAGCAAATAACAGGGAAGTGTACAGCGCGGGAATGATGGCGCAGGCAAGAAAGGGACATAGAGAAAACAAAATTATATGTATAAGGGTAAACCGGCCATGGGAATGCAGATCACGATTTGGTGGAATCAGAGCTACCATCCTCTGATTGCTTGTCGCTTGCTGGCTTGGACGTCTCGGGTTCGTTGGAAATGGTAATGGGCTTCGCTCGCACAACTTCGAGGAGTTTGTCACCAACCTCGCTGGCGCCTTCGATTTTGCTAAGTTTGCTCCGGAAATGCTCGACATCGGCTTGCATTCTATGTGGATGTTAGTATTAGCTATGAGTGGGAGTGTTTCAACTACTAACCTCTTCTTTCCAGCCTCCGTCTGTACATCTGCCTCCTGGAAGGCCTTCGTCCATTGATCACGGTAGCTGTTGAATACAGGTATCATGATCATGCTAACTGTCATGTCGGGAAGATGCTTGCTCAGGACCCGGTGGAGAGTGCCCGTCTCCTTAGCTAAGGTTTCCATATAGGGATTAACGGGAGGAGTCGTCGCTCCCTCGGAGTTCCAGTCGATCTTCTTCATCGAGTTCACATGCACCGAAGAGCGCGAGCCCATGATATCAACCAGTTTCTCGTGGATACCGCTCTGATGCTCCTGGCATAGTCGCTTCACTTTGTCGAACTCGGCCATCAAGGGGTTTGTCTGTCCGTGGCGACGGACAAATTCTCGCACATACGGAACCAGAGCAATAACGAAGCTCAATGCCTGTGAGGACAGCGCGAGATGCTTAGTTGTGATGTTCTTCAGTCCTGCGCTACGCGTGGCGCCGGCTCCAAGAATCAACTGCGATGACCGCGAGTTGAACAGTTTCAGAATATCTAGTAGGTGCGGCGCAATATCCTGGATCATACTGGGGATATTCGACATGAGGAAATCGAATTCCTCAATGCTACGCATCACGGCAACAGCAGAGTCAGGCAAAATGTATTTCTGCTCGTCGATGACCGCACTGCGAACCTTGGACTTGTCTGTCCCATTTTCAGCGCCAGTATCAGCAGGTTTGCCTTCGTCGTTTTGAGGACGTTCAGTCCAAATCTTAGAAACCTCGACCCAGGCGTCGATGTCTTTGGTACTTGCATCGAGAATCCTAGCAAGAATGGTGTTCTCGGTATCTCCGAAATCGCGTGCATCCCATCGATCGGCATCCATAACATTGACGATTTGATGCCGTTGACTATCACCGAAACGGGTAATAAAATCGTGGATTTGATTTCCGACTATTGTTTTCAGAGCAGTGCCACTGCGTCCCGAAATGGCCTCACATTCATCGGCGAACAGGCGATTGAGGGTGAAGTACCTGAGGAATTCCTCCTTAGAAAGCTGGGCGGTTTGTTCAGATCGTACTTTCAACACCTTTGTTATCTGGGATTGGGCGATATCAACTGCCTGACCAAGCAGACTCGACATGTCCAAAACCTGCAGAATCTCATCCTGCGCCATGTCAGACGCTGTCGGCCCGACCTGTGAAGAGTTTAAAGCTTGATCCATACTCTGCGGGTTGGGGCTTCGTGGTGGTGACCTTACGCCGGGCGAATTCCCCAACCCGCTAGCAATATCCAGAAGAACTTTGACTTGGACGCTGAGTCGCCTTAGTGATTCGCTAATCCCGGTGTAGACATTCATCAACATCGTATAAGCATCATCTGAGTCGAGAGCGCGAAGATTGCGCGCAAGGATTGATGACTTCTCTTGTTGGCTTAGCTGATGACCGCCATGTGTTGATAGCGACACCATAGATTCATTATCATCATCACTAGAACTAGGGAGGTGTTTGCGAATAAGGCCCTTCATTTCTCGTAAAACAGCGGTTTTGAAAGAAGTTGCAGCTGACATCGTATAGTGAGCACGCGCGAGTCCGTTGAGCTGGGTATTCAATTTGGACCGCAAATCATTATTGAAATTCATGTAGGCAGGCGATACTCCAGACCGCTGACCACCTCGCTGCCGCTGGAATGAGTTTCCCCAGCGCTGCAGGGTCACATTCGATGGCACAGTTTGAACGTGCTCTCGTAAATCCCCCAAAAGGTCATTCAAGAACCGGGTCTCATAGCCCATACCAATGCGTTGGCGGAGCTGTGCCAGGTCGTCAGATGATCCCTCAAGGGCCTTAAGGCCTCGTAAGTCGATAATGCGTCTAGGGGCACCCTCCTCGTCCTCCGACGCGGCACGGGTAGGGAGCTTTTCACCAGCCATTAGTTTTTCGACTTCCTCGAGTCTATCAGCAGCTTCCTCAATGTCGCCCTGCTCTACCAATCCTTCGCACCGAGACACAGATTCGACCACATCGCGAAGCTGAGCCACGGTGGCTCCCAGCATTCGTACATTTTCTCTTCGCCGTCTCAAATTGACAATTTTCAGACCACCTAGAGCCATTTCTTTGTCGATTTTCTGTAGGTCTTTCCTTAGTACTTGTATCCGGTTGACTGAGTCTGCGGCTTCCGCGTGCAATTCTCGAAGAGATCCTAGAGCAGTGAAGAATGATTTCGAGGCCGTTGAGATCGAGGAAATAAGATGGATCTCCACAGTATCCATATACCATGAAAGCTTTTCTTGCAGAATAGCATTTGTTGCTAGTGCTTTTCTTCCAGTTTGTACTGGCTCCGGAACCAATCCATTGGCGTGTTTGTCGTCTTTAGACGGCGGGCGAGGCGGGCGAATCACCTCTGATTTCTCGGATATCACGTCGAAAGTCCGAGGATTCTCCAGATGGAATCCCTCTTCGAAATAAACCGGAGGGATGGTGGACAGAGGAGTAACAGCTGGGGCACGACCGCGGGCACCAGAGGGGCGTCGGCCGCGAGTATCATATGGTGAAGATGATCTTGAACCGGTTGACATAACCGAAGACCTCCGATCTGGGGACCATGGCATTAACGAATCGCGATCGGAATCTGGCTTGAAGGCCTCCTCCCCAGCGCCTTCTTTCGATTGCTGAAACACATCGTACAAACCGCCTACTTGCGATAGATATGGCTGGAAGACCTTTGCATCCACGTGCTTGATGTTTGTGAGGGTCACTGGCGGGATATCGCGGGAGGACGGGGGTTTAAAGCCGGCGGAGGATGTGGCACTACCGGTCGTCATACCGGTGCGGATGATTGGAGGTTGGAGGAGGGTCGAAATGGCTACATGGGCGTTAACAGGTCATCGAGGGATTGAGAATTCCGAGGTCACAAACCATTCTGACCAGACTCTGCGACAGACTCTGAGATTGAGCCATGGTAGTGAGAAGACTCCAGGACACCTCCGATGCTCACGATCGAGCTCGCGGTTGATCCCCTCCTCAGGGGGAACCGCTGAGGGGCTACACGTGGAGATTCCAACTGAGTTGTTGAATAAGAGATTGAAGGCGACGAGACCCCAGACGCCAAGCTATCAATTGACTTTCGTGGACTGGTTGACGACATGGCTGCCACGAGCCGGATCGGACAGCCACCGGGGGAGGGTCGATCGTTGTGATGTTCCGCGTTATCTGATCATGACAGTGGATAGACTCCTGGCTGTAGAGCTGTAGCAGGCTCAGATACAGGGTGTAATGCAGATCAAGTCAGATTCTGCGATTCGCTGGTTGCAGAATGCCTGTGATGTGGCTTTGTTTCCATCAAGCTGTTCATGGCTCCCCAATCTGTCAATGCGCTAAACGCCGGGCGCTTCCCCGTGCTGACTCAGATACCTTCCGCCTGAGGCCTCACGTCTAATGCCTCAGGCATCTGCTGACTCAGAAACCACTTAACGCGCGAAACCTCGACGCGTCGCGTTGGTGCCACACTAACCAAAAGTTCTTGAAGCCTCCCTTCCGCCAAATCATCAACCCCCCAACCTGCCACATTTGCGGTCCTCTACACCATGGATAGACGCACCCCCTATACTTTGAGCGTACTTGCGCCCAGCACCAATGGCGCGGATGAAGATCGAACGACTATTCAAAATCGTCTCCGGGATTTCGTGCTAGAATTTCAGCTGGATAATGCATTCATCTACCGGTACGCATCCCACCGCCATGATGGTCCAGTAGAGACTAATTTATGATTAAATAGTGATCAATTACGGCAAAATGCCCTTGTGAAACAATACTACTGTGATATTGACATTGCCCATCTAATTTCTTACAACGAAGAATTGGCTCACAAACTCACCACCGAGCCCGGCGATCTCATCCCTCTTGTAAGTTTCTTATTCCGCGGATGTTGGCCGTCGCTAACTCAAAATAGTTCGAGCTGGCCCTGAAACAATGTTCTGCACGGATTGTCTACCCCGGACAGCGCGATATCACACTACCCTCCCACCAACTGCTTCTACACTCTTCGGCATCACACATCTCAATTCGTGATCTCAATGCCACCAACATCTCCCACCTCGTTCGCATCCCTGGAATTGTGATTGGAGCTTCGACAATATCTTCCAAATCAACAATTATTCACGTTCGTTGCAAGGGCTGCGATCACAGCGAAAACATCCAGGTCGATGGTGGCTTCTCTGGCCTATCGCTGCCACGCCGCTGCGGTCGACCCAGGATCGAAAGTGATCAGCCCAATGAGCAATGTCCCTTGGATCCTTACGTCGTTCACCACGAGAGATGTCAATTCGTGGACCAGCAAGTCCTCAAGCTTCAAGAAGCCCCTGACCAGGTGCCAGTGGGTGAGATGCCGCGACACGTCCTTATTTCTGCCGATCGCTACCTTGCCAACCGAGTTGTTCCTGGCTCCCGTTGCAC